AGCGCGTCTTACGGTTGATGATATAAATCCTGCATTACCCAAAATATGCAATAAATCCCATAGTGTAGGGTCCTTAAGGCAATGCGGGATTTATATCATGAACAGTTGAACTACATGTGGGAGTTTCTGAAAATGAGGGGTACGTACCTTCTTTGGGGTCCTTATAAAAAGGATCCTAGTGTTTAAGGTACTATATTAGGGTCACCTATTTTCGGAAACCCCGCATGTTGGTGTGCTTCGGAAGGGATGAGAATGCAGCATGTCCAATCATGCCTTCGTTTGGGTATGTGCATCCCCTAACTCTGAGGTGCGGTTGTTAATCCGCCCTAAATCTACTGAACCGCAGTGGGGCAACATCTCCATGCCTTCTAATCAACCGAAGCCCTTATGAACCAAACACCAATAAGGACAGCTATTGTTTGTTGGAACAAGCTCCAGGCTGTGTTTAGGGCTCAGGTGACTTGGGTACCTCCTACTACGAATTTAGCCTCACAGAAAGCTTACCAACATGTATATCCGTCGGGCCCTCAATCAGATGCACCCTGCTTACGACTAAACGATGACATTGCAACACAAACTTATTTGATCCATGATCCCTGAGGTCATAGGCTTTCCTTACCGCCCCTTTCAGAAGACATCGCCAATCCCAAATAAACCTTATGAGCCCATTCTGCAACACTGTAAACCCTAAACTGTAGAGCTAACCCCTGAGCCCCTGCCAAGACCCGCAACCCTAAACCCTAACACGTGGTACCTACTTTGGAGTCTGAAGTTAAAAAAATGGTACCCACGTTGCGCTGTTTGGAGTCTTGGGGTCTGCCAAGGCGTACAAGTACATGACCACCAGCGAGGCTTGGGGCTCACACCTGGCTTTGAAGATACACAGCTTTTGGGACCCTCATTACTTACCTTGGGGCTAGTATGGAACGGAAGAATGGTAGCAATAGTAGTTGTAAGTGTACCCCATTCCTCCATTCCCGACTAGCCAAAAGTAAGATGAACCATGTTTCAGATCCTTATAGGCAATACACCCTGCTGCAGGTCCTTGTTAGTCATAAGCCCCGTTTCAGGTCCTCATAACCTCAAAGCCCTCTTCCAGGCCCTAAACCCTGAACCCTTAACAATAACCCTGGAATGGTCCAATTGCCGGAGAGCTAGTTGTTGTAGTTGATGAGGTAGGTGGAATCCTAAACCTTTAAACTTTGAAGTCGGGTATTGCGAGGTTTAGTTGCTCGCTTGGTGTCGGTTCCTCTTGGGTTGGGTCAGGGTCTTATCAGGTCTTTCACAGCCATTGGTCCTCGTAGTGTAGTGTAGTGTGTCGTTCCCACGTGTTGTGCTGCATTGTACTACAGTAAACCCCAAAAAGTTGGAAACCGGATTAGGGCCAAATAGTGCTGAGATTCCCTATAAATTACTCTTAAGGATTGAGGCCGTGGGGTTTCCAACTTTTGGGCTTTTACTGTAGTTGTGTCCACCGAAACCTCACAACCTGGCTTACCTCCTTCCCCATGGGGATTCGCACTATCTTGCCTCAGACATGCTTGGAGACTTCAGCAGAGAGAAACAGGAGTTATACACATCAAGACAGCTTTAAAGATAGCTTGAAATTTTGAACCCACAAGGGCAGCAAGCCTTTGCGGCTTCAGAGAGTTAAAGTTCTCACATACCCAACAGTTGAAGGTGAATGGTTTATGGGGGTTTCTAGAATATCACATCTTAGTAAAGGTTAAGGATTTAGGATTCAAGACCTGGTGCAAAAGTGTCGTATAATCCGGCAGCTTAGGGGTCCTGGGGTTCAGGCTTGAGATTCACCTAAGGGTCCATGTACCCAAAGAGTGTATACTGGTACTTGTATAGGGACTACTTCAAGGCTATAGCATCAACTATATGAATTCATGGGCCCTCTGGGTTCAGTATTCTTAAAACAAGTCCGAGCTTGGAGAGGGGATCCGAGGGGTGGCGCTGGCTGCTTTGCAGACAGTGTCACTCAGCGGTTTAGGGTTTAGGGTTCAGCTCCCGGGCGACGAGGCAAGCCCGTGGCAAGAGGCTTCAGCTCATAGCAGCCTTGATGGTTACAATCGGGCTTTTGGGCTATATGCTACTTCATTGATAATTGGGAACAACGAAATCTGGCTCTACAAATTGCTGCGGCTTCTACAGAGAATCCTTAAACTAAACCAATAGCCTCCAGGCCTTAATCACTATCAACAGGTTCTATTGCTTTCTACGGTTTTGAAGATCTTACTTATGCCATCAACAGGCCTTTAAACCCTAACCCAAGAGCTTCTTACGGTTACCATGGGTTGCCCAAAAGAAGCTTCCACATCCGTAAAGGTTAAGGGTTCAGGTATATTTAGAGTGTAAGGTCAGTGGCAACCCTCAACCCTAAACCCTACACCCTAAACCCTAAACGGTTCGAAATCGACAGCTGACGCCCCGGGCAGGTCCTCAAGGGAGCGGTTGAAAGCCAAGGAGAGAAGGGAGGCCAGTCCCGAGGTCGAGTTGAAACATTTCAAGGCTTGCGTTTTCTTAGGGTTTGAAGGGTTTAGGGGTTTAGGGCTTAAGGGTTTAGAACTTCGTGGTTAAGGCTTGTTGTTGTTTTTTCAATTTTCTTGGTGGTTTGAAGGGTTTTTCAGTTCTCAAGATTCATGTTAAGGGCTTGGGTTTTCTTAGGGTTCACTTCTGAGGATTCGGGGGGATTGGTTTTCGCTGATTTGGGTCCCGGCGGCTTCCCGGCTTGGCCTTGCATGATGGAGGGTTATAAAGGCTCCATGTACCCATATAGTAATCTAGTAGGTACTTAGGCCTTAAGGGGGTCCCTATATGGGTACTTTCAGGCATAAGCACCTACTACATGGGGGTACATGGAGCCTTTTAGGGTTCGAGGGTCCGAGTGCCTTGGAGGTCCCCCAGTCCCTTTTGGCAAGACTTTTGGGCTTGTGTGAGCTCTGTCAGGGTTTTGTGTTTGGGAGGGTTTAGGAGGGTTTATCTCTTTAAGATTCCAGCCTAACGGCACACAGCCGAAGCGGATGCCGAAAAAGGATTGAGGGTTTGGGGTTTACTAAACCAGCTCAACCTTTTAGGTTTGGCACATGCGCACCCTGCAACAAATCCCCTAGTAGTCGAGTAGGTAACCTTTAATCTTGTTTGGGTAGTATAGCCCCGATATAATCTCTATATAGCCGAAAAGGTTAACCTTCACATCCCCATGATACCCGACAAGTAGGATCCAAGCAATCGGCAACAGGCTTCGTGAAGCTCAGTGATCTGCGAGCAGACCTGAGCGTGGCCTTCTCAGCTTGGCTCTGACCACGAATGACTAAGTTTACAGCTCATGGTTTAGCATGTAAAAGGGCCGAGACTTCCCTAAATTCAACCCCAAACCCGAAATCCCTGAACCCTAATCAAACTTGGCTAGTGGGTGTACGGATGAGGGCTGATGGTTGCCCAGAATTCCGGGAGGATGAACAAAGTAGACCCCCTAATCTGGGACTCCATACAGTACTGCTTGTGGAAACCCCTGAAGGGATCCACTTTTGGGGGTTCCTGCCAATAGTGAGGTTGGATTCGGGGAGTCATACGTGTTCATAGAGTTTCATGAGTGTTTCTTGGGTTCCGTGAAAACTGTTCAGATATGGGGGTTCATACAGGACGGGCTCTGCACAGTTTTATCGCTGTGGGGTTCCGACATCGTTTGAAGAGTGTTATAACTTGTAACTCTTTTGCGAAGGTTTTTTGCTTATGGTTTAGGGCTCCAGCTTGGGTCGATACAGTGCGCAAATCCTACAACTGTGAGCTTTTGCGGGCTCTTCAGGATTTAGGATTTATGGCCGAGGGTTTCCGGATGCCCATTGAGGAGTATGAGAGCCATCCGGTATTCCCCATGAACGCTCATCTACTACAGAGGCCTGAATAATTATCCTTTCAATTTGGGGGGGCTCCTTATTATACTTATAGTAGAATATACTCCAAAATCCTATTCTCATAAGGCCCCTCTAGTAGCTCTAGGTCAAGGTCTTTTCTTTCACTTTACTCCATGGTTGCAGGCTCCCATACACGACATTTCACACTAAGGTCCGTAGGAAGCTAGAGAAGTCGCGGAGTCCTCCGTTTAGGGTTTAGGGTGTTGAACTTTGTTCTTTTCTTGTCGTTGTGTTGCTCTGAATGTGTTACTGTTGAGGACGTATATTCTGTAGCCTAGAGCCCTGCGCCCTAAATGCTAAGCCCTCAACCCGCGAACTCCCACACAGGTGATCCTACACCCCGCACTTCCGAAGAGCTGGACGCTTTATCTGAGGTCAGCATTTTCAAGAAATACAATCCTTTCTCTATCAAGATCATAACAGGAAACTATCTGAACCCGATACAAGAACCCCAGACAAACCTGATCAAGCTGACGAGTAGTGAAGTGAAGACCTATGACCAGCTGAACCCTGCACCCATAATCCTAAAACCCCGAACCCAAAACCCTACTATAGGGGCCTAAATAGTTTCCTCTCCTATTTTGGTGGGTTCCTGATTAAATTATATTACAGTATAATGGGCCCCAAAACCCTACTCTAACCCTAAAGGCCCCTATAGTATGTGCGCCCAGGTGCGACTGTATTTCCAGCAGATGTTGGGCAGCACGGTGCGAAGCTCAACTTGATGATGCAAGTTGTTCAGGCCTTCGTATACTTTGCTATACTGTACCGTCCTATACTATAACTATACTATGCTTACTGTACCAAACATGTATTAACTTTTAAGAAGTGTCTGCCTTCTCTCGACTCAATGCTTAAGTTTCTTCTCAGCTTTCACAGCCCCAAGCACTCCCACCGCGCACTTCGCAGAGCTATAGCTTGACCGCGATGGCGGCAACTTCGAGCGATGCTGTCGTGGACTACCAGGGCCTTGGCCATAAGCATGCTCACGCCCGCAAGTGGTACTTCCTCGGTGCCGGCCTGGCACTGCTCGGTGTCGCTGGCGTCGCGGCCAAGGTCTCAGGCCATGGTGATGCGATGTTTTCCTCGAAGCTCAAGGGCACCATCCAGGCCGCCGAAACCTGGGAGGAGCTTCCCGGTATTGACAAGGTCATCCGCAAGGCCCAGAGCTTGAGGCATGACAAGCCGCTCCGCAATCTTCAGGATCTCTTCTATGACTCCCAGCCCGAGGAGTTGCCTTGGAAGCTTAGGTCGTCGATAGCAAAGTCTCATTTTTGGTGATCTAAGCCTTATGGAACTTATATAGGGGTGTAGGAGTTTATGTTTTAAGTTTTGTTGGTCCTTCTGAAAGTTTTACATTTACGCCCTTTACTTGCCGGAGTATCTGGGAAGTAAGGATCCGCACGGAATGTGTAATTGACACGGTTCAAGCTGCCGCCTACCTTGGCCAGGCTGTCGTGTTCCTCTACAAGGCCATTGACTACGATGGGCTCGAGTGCCCGAACAACTCGCCAGTTGGATGCGCCGCCAGTGTCGCGGGCTTCATCACGTCCATCAGCTGGATCGCCTCGTACCTGTCCTTTGCGGCGAACGCCTGCGGCCAGGCCGTCAACAACGGTGCGTTGTGTGCGGGCGATTTCACAGCTCTTGTGGCCAACTTCGGCGAGATCGCCACCGTGGGCGCTGCTGCCAGGGCGGACTGCAACTTCGGCAAGAACGCCCTCCAGATCCTCACACGAACCGAGACGATCTCGCCTCCCTGGAAGGAGTTCGTTCCCGCGGGAGCCTCGCCGGCGGTCGACAAGGCCTTGAAGATCAAGGGGCACAAGGACCAGCAGCGCAACCGTGACTACGACATCGTGCAGTGCGCCGTGGACGTCACCAACTCCGCTTCCTACATTGTCCGAGTCATCCTTCAGATTCGCGCCGCGGGCAGCGCCTGCGCAGACCCCAAGTCCTGCGCGGTTGGCATCATGAGCCTGGGCTTTGGAGTACGATACTTTAACATCTTTTTTCTTAAAGGAACCCTTATGGAAAAAGAAAGTTCATAAATACGTTTTCTCCCTGGTTACTTGAAAGCCCAGGAACATCATCTCCTCCTTCGCCTGGATCTCCCAGTTCACGGCCCTTGCCGTCTCGGACTGCCAAGTGGGTGCCGACCAGAAGGCCTAGGGCCTATAGGACCTAGAGTAGGCCCTTATTCCGTTTCTTGGGGGTTTGGGTTGCCTTATAAGCCCCTTGAAACCAAAAAGGGCATTTTTTTCCTACGTATGTTACTCTTGGGTCTGGAGGCTCTTTGCACGGCGGACATCTCCGACATGGTTGCCGCGCTGACCAACGGCCCGGCTGCCGGCATTGCCTCCACCTCGGATTGCGCTGACCTCTGAGCTGCCTCATATAGGTGGCGAAGGAGCCGCACATGAAACGTTTCTGGCGTGCTGGTTGGAGACCGTCACTGCAGCGGTCACAGCCTTTGAAGCTTTACGGCGTATGGGTTTAACTTCGATTGCCCAAGAGACACTCGAAGTTCTATGAAACCCAAACTTCACATGTTTCGGTGCTTATTCAAAGGTTCATGTCGCCGCTGTTTCTGGACCTTCCGGCATGCATAAGTAGCTGCCGCGTCCGAATTGGGCTTTCCAGGCTAACCTGTGTGGAGTGCCTCTCTACATCTAGGGCGAACAGAGGAGGTTTAGGCAGCACAGTTTCCGGTTTTAGGCGTTGACATGTGAGACCACCATATGATCTGCTTGAGTATGCTTGAATCATTCGATAGACTGTTGGCCCCAGACTGTTCAGAATAATGACAGCACTGCTCAGACACATTTGGCTTCCGGCTTGAGGTAAAGGGCATGTATTGGTTTCTGTTTGGAGGGCTTTCTGAGCAGTACATGCTGTCACTGCACTGTATAACCGTGCCTCTGCAGCGTCCCTTGACGGGTTAGTTAGAGTGGAACCAGGTGTCTAGGGTACTTCTACTTGACGTGCTGGCTGCCGGCTTCACGGCGCCCTGCAGAGGCACTAGACTCAATGCCATCATCACTGCTGCAGCACTGCGAAGACCGTGCGCAGAAAGCAAGGCCGACCGCGAACCAGTGGCCTTATCTGATCTGGTTAGTTCGCGTGTCAACGCTTATACGTTTTTAAGTGAGTGTAATGCGAAGAAGCTCTAGGCGACTATGCCATACTCTGGGACGTCTGGGTCCGTCTTCTTGGCTCAAAGTATAAGTTACTTCTCAGCTTTCGCAGCCCCAAGCACTCACTGACCGCGATGGCGGCAACTTCGAGCGATGCTGTCGTGGACTACCAGGGCCTTGGCCATAAGCATGCTCACTCCCGCAAGTGGTACTTCCTCGGTGCCGGCCTGGCACTGCTCGGTGTCGCTGGCGTCGCGGCCAAGGTCTCAGGCCATGGTGATGCGATGTTTTCCTCGAAGCTCAAGGGCACCATCCAGGCCGCCGAAACCTGGGAGGAGCTTCCTGGTATTGACAAGGTCATCCGCAAGGCCCAGAGCTTGAGGCATGACAAGCCGCTCCGCAATCTTCAGGATCTCTTCTATGACTCCCAGCCCGAGGAGCTGCCTTGGAAGCTTAGGTCGTCAATAGCAAACCTTCATTTTTAGTGATCTAAGGTTAAAAGAACTTATATATAGGGGTGTAGGAGCTTATGTTTTGAGTTTTGTGGCTCCTCCTGAAGTTTTTTACATTTACACCCTTTACTTGCCGGAGTATCTGCGAAGTAAGGATCCGCACGAAGAAAGGGGCGTTATGGTTGGTGCAGGGTTTTCCCTTGCCGCATATGAGAAGGCCTTTCAAGGCATGCCGAAGGAGGCTCAGGCAACAGCCTACTGCCCGCTGTGTCAGGCGAGCTGCGTGCCGGGCTGGTCGCACTTGGCGTGGCATTGCCCTTATTTCAGTCAGGAGAGAGGCCAACTACGCGAGCCCGACTGCCCGAAGTCAGGGCGGCTCGGTTGGCCACAGGAAGGTGAGAGCATGGACAGTGCTGGCCTAAGACTTGCCTTTCTGGCGCGAGTCCGAGCTGCTACACGCGACCATGCCTGGAAGTAGGGTTTAGGGCCTGCTTGGTAGGGGTTGCTTCTGGGGTGGGTTTGGTTGTTGGTTTGTGCGGTGTAGGCTGTCCTTTCCCCCTCGCTTGGTGAGAGGCCTTGCATTGCATCCATGAGTCTGTGGACAGTTTCTCCTCGCTTCGGCGGGGCGGGCGAAGCGCGGCCCCTGAGACTGCGCAACCTCGTCATCTACAACCTGCGCACGGAATGTGTAATTGACACGGTTCAAGCTGCCGCCTACCTTGGCCAAGCTGTCGTGTTCCTCTACAAGGCCATTGACTACGATGGGCTCGAGTGCCCGAACAACTCGCCAGTTGGATGCGCCGCCAGTGTCGCGGGCTTCATCACGTCCATCAGCTGGATCGCCTCGTACCTGTCCTTTGCGGCGAACGCCTGCGGCCAGGCTGTCAACAACGGTGCGTTGTGTGCGGGCGATTTCACAGCTCTTGTGGCCAACTTCGGCGAGATCGCCACCGTGGGCGCTGCTGCCAGGGCGGACTGCAACTTCGGCAAGAACGCCCTCCAGATCCTCACACGAACCGAGACGATCTCGCCTCCCTGGAAGGAGTTCGTTCCCGCGGGAGCCTCGCCGGCGGTCGACAAGGCCTTGAAGATCAAGGGGCACAAGGACCAGCAGCGCAACCGTGACTACGACATCGTGCAGTGCGCCGTGGACGTCACCAACTCCGCTTCCTACATTGTCCGAGTCATCCTTCAGATTCGCGCCGCGGGCAGCGCCTGCGCAGACCCCAAGTCCTGCGCGGTTGGCATCATGAGCCTGGGCTTTGGAGTACGATACTTTAATATCTTTTTTCTTAAAGGAACCCTTATGGAAAAAGAAAGTTCATAAATACGTTAATACGTTTTCTCCCTGGCTACTTGAAAGCCCAGGAACATCATCTCCTCCTTCGCCTGGATCTCCCAGTTCACGGCCCTTGCCGTCTCGGACTGCCAAGTGGGTGCCGACCAGAAGGCCTAGGGCCTATAGGACCTAGAGTAGGCACTTATTCCGTTTCTTGGGGGTTTGGGTTGCCTTATAAGCCCCTTGAAACCAAAAAGGGCACCTTTTTTGTTATTCCTACGTATGTTACTCTTGGGTCTGGAGGCTCTTTGCACGGCGGACATCTCCGACATGGTTGCCGCGCTGACCAACGGCCCGGCTGCCGGCATTGCCTCCACCTCGGATTGCGCTGACCTCTGAGCTGCCTCATATAGGTGGCGAAGGAGCCGCACATGAAACGTTTCTGGCGTGCTGGTTGGAGACCGTCACTGCAGCGGTCACAGCCTTTGAAGCTTTACGGCGTATGGGTTTAACTTCGATTGCCCAAGAGACACTCGAAGTTCTATGAAACCCAAACTTCACATGTTTCGGTGCTTATTCAAAGGTTCATGTCGCCGCTGTTTCTGGACCTTCCGGCATGCATAAGTAGCTGCCGCGTCCGAATTGGGCTTTCCAGGCTAACCTGTGTGGAGTGCCTCTCTACATCTATAGGGCGAACAGAGGAGGTTTAGGCAGCACAGTTTCCGGTTTTAGGCGTTGACATGTGAGACCACCATATGATCTGCTTGAGTATGCTTGAATCATTCGATAGACTGTTGGCCCCAGACTGTTCAGAATAATGACAGCACTGCTCAGACACATTTGGCTTCCGGCTTGAGGTAAAGGGCATGTATTGGTTTCTGTTTGGAGGGCTTTCTGAGCAGTACATGCTGTCACTGCACTGTATAACCGTGCCTCTGCAGCGTCCCTTGACGGGTTAGTTAGAGTGGAACCAGGTGTCTAGGGTACTTCTACTTGACGTGCTGGCTGCCGGCTTCACGGCGCCCTGCAGAGGCACTAGACTCAATGCCATCATCACTGCTGCAGCACTGCGAAGACCGTGCGCAGAAAGCAAGGCCGACCGCGAACCAGTGGCCTTATCTGATCTGGTTAGTTCGCGTGTCAACGCTTATACGTTTTTAAGTGAGTGTAATGCGAAGAAGCTCTAGGCGACTATGCCATACTCTGGGACGTCTGGGTCCGTCTTCTTGGCTCAAAGTATAAGTTACTTCTCAGCTTTCGCAGCCCCAAGCACTCACTGACCTCGATGGCGGCAACTTCGAGCGATGCTGTCGTGGACTACCAGGGCCTTGGCCATAAGCATGCTCACTCCCGCAAGTGGTACTTCCTCGGTGCCGGCCTGGCACTGCTCGGTGTCGCTGGCGTCGCGGCCAAGGTCTCAGGCCATGGTGATGCGATGTTTTCCTCGAAGCTCAAGGGCACCATCCAGGCCGCCGAAACCTGGGAGGAGCTTCCTGGTATTGACAAGGTCATCCGCAAGGCCCAGAGCTTGAGGCATGACAAGCCGCTCCGCAATCTTCAGGATCTCTTCTATGACTCCCAGCCCGAGGAGTTGCCTTGGAAGCTTAGGTCGTCGATAGCAAAGTCTCATTTTTGGTGATTCTAAGCCTTATGGAACTTATATAGGGGTGTAGGAGTTTATGTTTTAAGTTTTGTTGGTCCTTCTGAAAGTTTTACATTTACGCCCTTTACTTGCCGGAGTATCTGGGAAGTAAGGATCCGCACGGAATGTGTAATTGACACGGTTCAAGCTGCCGCCTACCTTGGCCAGGCTGTCGTGTTCCTCTACAAGGCCATTGACTACGATGGGCTCGAGTGCCCGGACAACTCGCCAGTTGGATGCGCCGCCAGTGTCGCGGGCTTCATCACGTCCATCAGCTGGATCGCCTCGTACCTGTCCTTTGCGGCGAACGCCTGCGGCCAGGCTGTCAACAACGGTGCGCTGTGTGCGGGCGATTTCACAGCTCTTGTGGCCAACTTCGGCGAGATCGCCACCGTGGGCGCTGCTGCCAGGGCGGACTGCAACTTCGGCAAGAACGCCCTCCAGATCCTCACACGAACCGAGACGATCTCGCCTCCCTGGAAGGAGTTCGTTCCCGCGGGAGCCTCGCCGGCGGTCGACAAGGCCTTGAAGATCAAGGGGCACAAGGACCAGCAGCGCAACCGTGACTACGACATCGTGCAGTGCGCCGTGGACGTCACCAACTCCGCTTCCTACATTGTCCGAGTCATCCTTCAGATTCGCGCCGCGGGCAGCGCCTGCGCAGACCCCAAGTCCTGCGCGGTTGGCATCATGAGCCTGGGCGAACCCTTATGGAAAAAGAAAGTTCATAAATACGTTAATACGTTTTCTCCCTGGTTACTTGAAAGCCCAGGAACATCATCTCCTCCTTCGCCTGGATCTCCCAGTTCACGGCCCTTGCCGTCTCGGACTGCCAAGTGGGTGCCGACCAGAAGGCCTAGGGCCTATAGGACCTAGAGTAGGCCCTTATTCCGTTTCTTGGGGGTTTGGGTTGCCTTATAAGCCCCTTGAAACCAAAAAGGGCACCTTTTTTGTTATTCCTACGTATGTTACTCTTGGGTCTGGAGGCTCTTTGCACGGCGGACATCTCCGACATGGTTGCCGCGCTGACCAACGGCCCGGCTGCCGGCATTGCCTCCACCTCGGATTGCGCAGACCTCTGAGCTGCTTCATATAGGTGGCGAAGGAGCCGCACATGAAACGTTTTTGGCATGATGGTTGGAGACCGTCATGGCAGCGGTTACAACCTTTGAAGCTCTACGGCGTATGTGTTTAACTTCGATTGCCCAAGAGCCTCGGAATTCGATGAAACCCAAACTTCACATGTTTCGGTGCTTATTCAAAGGTTCATGTCGCCGCTGTTTCTGGACCTTTCGGCATGCATAAGTAGCTGCCGCGTCCGAATTGGGCTTTCCAGGCTAACCTGTGTGGAGTGCCTCTCTACATCTAGGGCGAACAGAAGAGGTTTAGGCAGCACAGTTTCCGGGTTTAGGCATTGACATGTGAGACCACAATACAATCTGCTTGAGTATGCTTGAATCATTCGATGGGCTGTTGGCCCCAGACTGTTCAGAATATTGACAGCACTGCTCAGACACTTTGGCTTCCGGCTTGAGGTAAAGGGCATGTATTGGTTTCTGTTTGGAGGGCTTTCTGAGCAGTACATGCTGTCACTGCACTGTATAACCGTGCCTCTGCAGCATCCCTTGACGGGTTAGTTAGAGTGGAACCAGGTGTCTAGGGTACTTCTACTTGACGTGCTGGCTGCCGGCTTTACGGCGCCCTGCAGAGGCACTAGACTCAATGCCATCATCACTGCTGCGGCACTGCGAAGACCGTGCGCAGAAAGCAAGGCCGACTGCGAACCAGTGGCCTTATCTGATCTGGTTAGTTCGCGTGTCAACGCTTATACGTTTTTAAGCGACTATGCCATACTCTGGGACGTCTGGGTCCGTCTTCTTGGATCAAAGTATAAGTTACTTCTCAGCTTTCGCAGCCCCAAGCACTCCCACTGACCGCGATGGCGGCAACTTCGAGCGATGCTGTCGTGGACTACAAGGGCCTGGGCCACAAGCACGCTCACTCCCGCAAGTTGTACTTCCTCGGTGCTGGCCTGGCACTGCTCGGTGTCGCTGGCGTCGCGGCCAAGGTCTCAGGCCATGGTGATGCGATGTTTTCCTCGAAGCTCAAGGGCACCATCCAGGCCGCCGAAACCTGGGAGGAGCTTCCTGGTATTGACAAGGTCATCCGCAAGGCCCAGAGCTTGAGGCATGACAAGCCGCTCCGCAATCTTCAGGATCTCTTCTATGACTCCCAGCCCGAGGAGTTGCCTTGGAAGCTTAGGTCGTCGATAGCAAACTCTCATTTTTGGTGATTCTAAGCCTTATGGAACTTATATAGGGGTGTAGGAGTTTATGTTTTAAGTTTTGTTGGTCCTTCTGAAAGTTTTACATTTACGCCCTTTTACTTGCCGGAGTATCTGCTGGGAAGTAAGGATCCGCACGGAATGTGTAATTGACACGGTTCAAGCTGCCGCCTACCTTGGCCAGGCTGTCGTGTTCCTCTACAAGGCCATTGACTACGATGGGCTCGAGTGCCCGAACAACTCGCCAGTTGGATGCGCCGCCAGTGTCGCGGGCTTCATCACGTCCATCAGCTGGATCGCCTCGTACCTGTCCTTTGCGGCGAACGCCTGCGGCCAGGCTGTCAACAACGGTGCGTTGTGTGCGGGCGATTTCACAGCTCTTGTCGCCAACTTCGGCGAGATCGCCACCGTGGGCGCTGCTGCCAGGGCGGACTGCAACTTCGGCAAGAACGCCCTCCAGATCCTCACACGGACCGAGACGATCTCGCCTCCCTGGAAGGAGTTCGTTCCCGCGGGAGCCTCGCCGGCGGTCGACAAGGCCTTGAAGATCAAGGGGCACAAGGACCAGCAGCGCAACCGTGACTACGACATCGTGCAGTGCGCCGTGGACGTCACCAACTCCGCTTCCTACATTGTCCGAGTCATCCTTCAGATTCGCGCCGCGGGCAGCGCCTGCGCAGACCCCAAGTCCTGCGCGGTTGGCATCATGAGCCTGGGCTTTGGAGTACGATACTTTAATACATATTTTTTCTTAGAGGAACCCTTATGAAACAAAAGTTCATCAATACGCTTTCTCCCTGGTTACTTGAAAGCCCAGGAACATCATCTCCTCCTTCGCCTGGATCTCCCAGTTCACGGCCCTTGCCGTCTCGGACTGCCAAGTGGGTGCCGACCAGAAGGCCTAGGACCTAGACTAGGCCCTTATTCTTTTTTTTAGGGTTTGGGTTCCCTTATAATAAGCCCCTTGAAACCAAAAAGGGCACCCTTTTTTATTCCTACGTTACTCTTGGGTCTGGAGGCTCTTTGCACAGCGGACATCTCCGACATGGTTGCCGCGCTGACCAACGGCCCGGCTGCCGGCATTGCCTCCACCTCGGATTGCGCTGACCTCTGAGCTGCTTCATATAGGTGGCGAAGGAGCCGCACATGAAACATTTTTGGCATGATGGTTGGAGACCGTCATTGCAGCGGTTACAACCTTTGAAGCTTTACGGCGTATGGGTTTAACTTCGATTGCCCAAGAGCCTCAAAATTCTATGAAACCCAAACTTCACATGTTTCGGTGCCTATTCAAAGGTTCATGTCGCCGCTGTTTCTGGACCTTTCGGCATGCATAAGTAGCTGCCGCGTCCGAATTGGGCTTTCCAGGCTGACCTGTGTGGAGTGCCTCTCTGCATGGGAGTTTCCTAAAATAGGGGGTGCCTTATTTTTGGGGGGTCCTTCCGAACATGATCTTGCTTTTTAGGGTACTTTATTTGGGTCCCCATTTTCGGAAACTCCCCACATCTTGGGCGAACAGTGAAGGTTTAGGCAGCACAGTTTCCGGATTTAGGCGTTGAGATGTGAGACCACAATATGATCTGCTTGATTATGCTTGCATCATTCGATAGACTGGTGGCCCCAGACTGTTCAGAATACTGACAGCACTGCTCAGACAATTTGGCAATCTCTTCTTGGGCCTATGGCTTGAGGTATAGAGGGCATGTATTTGTTTCTGTTTGGAGGGCTTTCTGAGCAGTACATGCTGTCACTGCACTGTATAACCGTGCCTCTGCAGCGTCCCTTGACGGGTTAGTTAGAGTGGAACCAGGTGTCTAGAGTACTTCTACTTGACGTGCTGGCTGCCGGCTTAACGGCGCTCTGCAGAGGCACTAGACTGAATGCCATCATCACTGCTGCGGCACTGCGAAGACCGTGCGCGTAAAACAAGGCCGACCCGTTGGCCTTATCTAGTTACGCAGAGAACCGAATACCCCTTATAAGTAGGGAATATACCTTAAACTATTATGGTAATCTCCTTATAGGTTAAGGTATGATCCTTAATTAAGGGGTATTAGGATCTTTGGGTAGTTCGAGTGTCAGAGACAGGGGCTCCAGTTACCCAGTATGGTACCTATGGTCTCCATTGTAGTTCCTTTTTTTGGTTTAACCAAGTATATCCGAAAAGGTAACCCCAAAAAGGAACTAGAATGGAGATTACGGGTAGGCTACTGGGCCATGTTGTTATATGGTTTTTGTAACCTGCTATTTAGGCAACTGGAGCGTTAGGGAGAGCTTACGTGAGCGTTATGCGAAGTTCTAAGCGAAAGGGTCGCTGTAAACTCGAGCCTCTCGTATCAAGAGTCAAGAGTCGCTATTGCTTGCAGTGCCTTTCATGTAGAGTTTAGGGGTTTACGGTTTAGGGTTGTGGTGTTGGTTGCGGGTTAGTGCGTGCGTTTAAGGCAGATGTGACAATCCGTCTCTTTAGGCTTTTGGGTTTCTGTCCCGTTTCCTGAGACCCTGAATGCTTCGCCAGATGTTGAGGTCTGGAACAACAAGGACTTCGAGACCTTCTTCGAAGGTCACTACGAAGAGACTCGTTTTGATGTTTGCATTGGTGTCTAACTTGAAATTTGGTGTCAGGGCTTGAAGCTTTGGGCAGTTCGAGGTGACCTGGTTCCAAAATTTTGACATGGTTCTGGGCGTTGGTGCCTGCGGCGTTGGATGAACCGTTGCACCGGCCTGGATCTGGTCTCAGGTGCTTGGAAAAACGGAAACTCCCTTCGGACTGTTGATGATATAAATCCTGCGTTACCTTAAGGACCCTAAACTATGGGAATTATGGCATATTCTTTATTATGGGTAAGGCAGGACTTATATCATCAACCGGAGCATCCGCACTTCGAAGCCAAGAGCAGGTAGCTTCCCTCGGCCGACTGCCAATAAGCAATGCAGGTGCGGACGTTTGCAGTCTGAACCCCCACCTTGCCGAACTCGTTGGCCCACATGTCTCACACGTGTCTTCGAAGCCCCGAAATAAACCCAACATAACACCAAGCCCCTCGTTTTGTCTGCGAGTAGAGGACACCATGTGATCTTTTGATGCAGCCACAGTGCAGGGAGGGAGTATGAACTCACGAAGAGGAAGACCTTGCTAACTCTCTGCAGTCTTGAGCTGGGCATGGCCGGTGTTCTGTTTTAGGGTTTAGGAAGTCCAGGGGTTTTGGGGTTTAGGTTGTTTAGGGTTTAGGGTCTAGGGGTTTTAGGCAAAAGGGGCAAGCGAGCTCCAGTACTGTTGTATAGTGACTTGGGTGCCTACTATTGTATGTGTTTGCTAAAGTTTTGTTGGACAGCCTGCTATGCAATTGTCGGAACCGGTAAGGTACCGTGATCAAGTTTCAGCATAACTGGTAGTACGCACGACAGCAGCTCTAAATTGTCAACCGCTAGAGGTGATGCATGCACATTCATGGTTGCCGCCGTTTCTAGATGTGATGCTCGTGGTAAGGTTGTGTTGAAGACAGGTTTTGACGAAGAAGTTCTTACGAGTGGAAGCAGAGTTGAGGACCTTCAACCCATAACCCTCAGAAGGGATATTCCTGAGAAAGGGCCCCCACCCTGTAATAGTGGTATAATAGGAGTATAATAAGGCCCTAATCTAATCCTTGTAATCACAATTACAGGGTGGGGGCAGCTTCTAAGATATTCCTATACCGCTTGCACCCTCGTCCAGAGCGGCCAAGCCAAGGAATGGGACTTCGACCAGAAGTCTCTTGTCTCAACAACTTGATATGGGGGTTTCCGAAAATAGGGGGACCCTAATATAGTACCCTAAATAGTAGGATCCTTGTTGTAAGGACCCCTAAATAAGGTACCCCTATTTTCGGAAACTCCCATATCCCCGCAGCCCTGAACTTGTAATGGTCAGGAATTCATGTTTAGGCTATACCCTGACACCCTACACTCTATATGGATTCAATTCTGGGTACAGGGTCCAGGTTGCAGAGCCCGAACAGGCACGGATTTTCAGGAGGACTCGCGAAACAATCTTCAGACTCTCGGTAGTCAAAAGCCGCATGAAGCCTTGAGATGTAAGTCTAAAGCCCCTACATGCCAAACCCTACACCCTGAACCTTAAAGGCCCGACATACTACACCGTAGACCCTGGCACGTCGGCCCTCGACAGAAACCGGATTCAAAGCATCTGCAAAACCAAGTACTGGTAGTACTTAGTAGGGTAGCTGCTGCCGGGCAGCATCTTTTCCTAGGTGGTATCTTGGAGACCCCTTGAAGGGGATCTTTCTTAACCCTCCTTCTGGCTCTCTTCAAAGTGAGGGGGTCTTCCTCCCGAGGGTCCCTTCAATCCATGCACTACCCAGAGGCTCCATAGTAGTTCCTTTTTGGGATTACTTTATAGGATTCTACCTTTGAGCCCCAAAAGGAACTACTTTGGAGCCTTAGGGTATAGTCTCCTGGACATCGGAAACATCCGGCACACTGGGCTACGGACTCGAATTTCCCCGACACAGAAGTTTGATTCTGAACTCCTTGAGAGGGTTTAGGGTTTAGGGGTCAGACACAGAAGTTTGATTCGAGGGCTGTCGAGGTGCAGAGCTTCATGGTATTAGCTGCCTCAAGTCCTTGCTGTTCCTTACTTGTTAGGGTTTGGGCTGCGGTGGTGTCGAGTCCAGCAGCTACCTTTGAAAAGGCCTATATACTCAGGGCTGGGCAGGTTAATTTTAACGTTTCGGGCATACAAAACCCTAAATGCTGTACCCTGTTTCCGCTAGGGTCCTCAGCCGCGAAAGCCGAGGAAGTCCCGCGTCCGCATGCGACCAGACGGACCCCTGATGCCGGAGACTCATTGTCCGCGCAATTGTTGCTTAGGGTTTAGGGGTTTAGGGTTTGTGGGGAGTTCCAGGCTTAGTGCATGGCAGTCCAAGCTGAAAAGGGTTATCTATGGGGGGGTACTATATAAAGATAGTTTATGGGTTAAGGTCTGGGCCCCACTGACGAAGCGAAAGCATTCTGCAGCCACACAGATTCCTGCATGGTCTCGCCTTAGCCAGGGAGATCTCTCCTGCGAAGTCTCCGGATAAGGCGACAAGCTTCGACACAGCCAACCACGATAAGTCGTGGTCTCAGACAGGGCACGTCAGGGTGAGGGTCGGCAGCGTCGCCAGTTTCCTTGTTTCATGACGGTAAGCACAAAGCCAGAAATATGTAGCAGTCACAACAGGCTCGCCATCACATCCTCGCTACAGCACCACACACGAATGGGGCCAACACCATGGACCGATCTCTGCGTGTTGGGCCTTGCTTGGGGGAAAACCTTAGCCACAAAGCTGTACGTTCAACACGAAGTCATTTCAACTCACCTGTTTTTCCGTCTTATTCTGTAGGTTCGACGGCCGAACTCTGACAGAATTAATCTACCTCCTTTGAGCGATCCGTGGCCTACCTCCGATGAAAGATGCGCGAGCATAAGTTGCACGCAGCAACAGCCCTGAACCCCCTAACCCGAAAACCCCTAAGAGCCCCTTACTTAAGCCCCTAAAGACCCGCCCTAAACCTCCTAATGTCATAGGGACCCTTAGGGGTGTAGGGGGAGGGGGGGTAGGGGGCCTTAAGGCCCATAATAAGGACTAATAAGGCCTATTTAAGGAAATATAGTCCCCTACACCCCTCCCCCCTACACCCCTAAGGATCCCCATGATAATGGTAGGGGCAGGTGAAGATTGGAGGCAGTTCGGAGACCCCTTGACCCCGGTGGCTTCCCTATGTGCCACCCGCCCCCAATCCTACAGCTCGACCTAAAAGCGATGGAGTCTTAGGGTTTTTGCAAAAGAGTCTAGGGATTTAGGGTTTAGGGTTTAGGCCCTAAACCCAAAACCAAGTTGTCGCTTGAAAGCCTTAGGGGACTCCATACGGTAAGACGCTAAGCCCTAGCCACTTGGCAAGCTTGTTTCAAATGTGACGAACTGGTGCCAGCAGGATCCCAGTTTTTCAGAAAGCCCAGTAGTAGAGTAAGTAACCTTTAACCGTTTGGGGGGATACCATATTCCATATATACTCCCAATCTAACCCTCAAAGGTTAAACCTCTAGTTCCCCAGGATACCCGAGAAGTAAGAAAAGGGCGTCTTAACGATTTGTTGGGTTCTATAAGTGCCGTAATGGTCACCGTGGGGTCTCGGGATACACTGCGGTATGGCTTTCCTTTTCCTGTCCCATGTAATTAATGCAACTCAGGACCTGTAACTAATGGATCCTATACTCCGGTTTCACAAGTCTCAATGCAAAAACTAATCCAGAATCGATCCCCTGGGGCCCCGTACCCTATAAAGAAGAACACACCAAAGCCACCAACGACCCATAAGTAGTAATCACGGTGTGGGGGGGGGGTCAGATGCGTCCCTGACAGCATAGCACGAAGCGGAAGGTTTAGGGTTGAGGGTTTAGGGACCCTAAACCCTAAACCTCCTAAATCTTATAACCCCTGACAGCATAGGTAATGGTGGCAATATAGGAACTATTTCACGGCCTAAGTATATACTTTTTAGGTACAGGGACCCTTCGGGGAAGCGGAAGGTAATGGTGAAACCCTATTTTTATTGTTAAGGCCCCTATACTAAATCCTTGCAATAGCTCTCATAGTAGCCCCTATAGACCTTTTGTAAGAACCCTTCAGGGGAACCCTATTCTACTCCCTCACAGCATAGCACGAAGCGGAAGGTAATGGTGGTGACCAGTCCCCTAAACCCCAATCCCCTAAACCCTAATCCCTAAACCCTAATCCCCTAAACCCTAACCCTGCCTTGCCAGGCTTTGTCCGAGTGTGAGTGTCAAACCCTAACCCCTAGACATCTAAACCCTAACCCCTAACCCCTCAACCCTAACCCCTAAACCCTATGACCTTAACTGCAAGGAGGAAAAAGGCGTTCAAAAAAAAAACCTATAGAATCCCTGACAGTAAAGCGGAAGGTAATGGTGGCGACCAGTCCCCAGTTGCCATGGAGACGGAGTCCTCTGGACTCGCCGAGAAGCTTAGCCGGGCACCGAAGTCATCAGAGGATTCTTGGGGGGTTCCTATTAAAGGGATCTATAGGGTTTGAAGGATTCCTTTAAAGGACTTTGGTGATTTTGGGGGGCTTTGGGGGTTTAGGGATTTGGGTTAGGGTTTAGGGTTCAGGGTTTAGGGAGGGATTGCTTAGGGGGTTCTTGTTAAAGGGATCCATAGGGTTTTGAAGGATTCCTTTAAAGGATTTGGCGGAGGCTTTGGGGGTGTAAGGGTTTAGGGATTTGGGTTAGGGCTTGCAGGGTTTAGCGCTCAGGGTTTAGGGTTTAAGGATTTGGGTTTGGGGTGTGGTGTGGTGTGTGTGTGTGTGTGTGTCTTTGCTTCATTCTTGCTTTACTAACAGTTTGCCAGCTTCGGGATGAAATAGGGTGGCAGTATACGGCTTCGGGTTTAGTTCCAGAAGTGAGTTTCGGTTTCGTCAGATTGAGTAAATCCCCCGGATGTTCGAGGAGTAGTGGAGGGCACTGGTCTCAGATAGTATAGTCATTGCAGCCCAAGCATTGCTCCATTCAATGCTTAGCGCAAGTTACGTCATTCTTTGGAGGCTGTCCTCCTTTAAAGCAGCAACATGGCCAAATCCTACGCTTCATCTCCAGCTAAACAAGTTTGGACTGAAGATAAGACAGGTGTCGAGTCTGCTAAGGTTCGGAGCTTCGATATGTAAGGATGCTTGGTGCTTGATGTTGTGTTTTTAAATCTGCCCTATTCCAAAACTTCGCTCCATTTGACTTGATTTGGGCGCTGCGCGCACAGTGCATTTCTTCCCCCTTCTGACTAGCAGCTGCCAGAGTATGAGCAAAGGCTTTGCACTTCAGCACTTGGAGGATCATGGAACTTAGTAAGTAGGGTTATAAGTACCTTACTTGGGGTTATAAGTAGCTATAAGTATACTTACCCTAATCGTAACCCTAGTTACTAAGTCCCATGATCCTTAAAGCAGGCTCAGGAGGAGGAGCTGAGGACTGGTAGCAGACAGAAATATGGGAGTTTCCGAAAATTGCGGGTACCTTATTTTGGGGCCCTTATAATAAGGATCCTACTATTTAGGGTATTATATTAGGGTCCCCTGTTTTCGGAAACTCCCATATGTATGCAGTCCTCCCATTGTCGTCGAAGGTCTTATTATGTTCAGCAGGGGTTCAGAATTAAAATCCCCGTCAGCCGGCTGCATCGTGGCGAAGTTATGACGTTGCTCACACCATATGGGAGTTTCCGAAAATAGGGGACCCTAGTATAGTACCCTAAATAATAGGATCCTTATTATAGGGACCCAAAAATAAGGTACCCGAATTTTCGGAAACTCCCATATACTGCCATGATCCCATCAACCCAGACCCTGCAGGCGGTGAGTCGTGTGTCCTTTCTACCCAGAGACTCCAATATCCCTTAATTAAGGAATATACCTTAAATCAGATTAAGGATCCTTGAGTTTAAGGTATATTCCTTAATTAAGGGATATTGGAGTCTCTGGGTACCTCTGGCCGGTGCAATCCTCGGCTCAAGACTATCGCCATGGCCACAGCCGGGACCCCCGAAGCGGGCGTTGCGGCGACTGGACTGCATTGGAAATCCCGAAGAGGAGGTTCTGAGACAGGTCTCGTGCAGCTGTCTTCTAATTGCTCGAAGCCCCCTTTTCCCAGAGCTTTGCCAAGAACGTTGCGGTCCTTGCAAATCCGGCGGCGAAACCGAAGCAACACCCATGATTTCAAGCACGAAGAAGCTAAGCTAAACCCCAGGCACAAATCAGCTAACCCCCTGAAGTCATGCGTCCGGACGCGAACCGCCAGGTTGTTCAGCGCAAATCGTGTAGTCCTCACACCCCAGGTGCAGATGGAAGGCCCCGATTTGCAGATCCCCAAAAGCCTTTATAGGAGAAGCCAAGCAACAGCGACTGCAGACTCGTAGATGGCATAGAAGCGCATCTATGAAGTTCAGTCCCTCTTCGGGTATACCCCTGCAGAGTTTGGTGGCGGATCCCTGAGATACCCATAGGCCCCAAAGTAGTTCCTTTTTTGGGATTATAGGACTCTAAGTATGAACCCCAAAAAGGAACTGCTTTGGGGGCTTAGGGTAGACGCAGCGTTAAATCTGCAGTTTGGGATTTAGCTCATGGGGGTTCCTTTAGGAACTGGAAGATCTTTTGCGAATGTGCCATGCGCGATTGCAAAAGCTCCAGACACTTGGAGGATCATGGGACTTAGAAAGTATAAGATTATAAGTACCTTAATTGGGGTCACAAGTAGCTATAAGTATAGTTACCGAATTATGACCCTGTAGTTACTAAGCCCCATGATCCTGTAAGTAGTGACACTTTGAACTGCGAAATGGTGCGCAAACCCGAAAAAGCTTCTGAGCCCATGAATCCGTCACGAAAATTCTCAGCCCCTGAACCGTGATGAGGCTTTAGGGTTTAGGGTCATCGAATGGGAAAGCGCTCCTTAAACCCTGAGCTATGAACCATTCTAGGCACGGCCAAGCCAAGTCGCATCACGGCCGTCGACGGCAGTCACTTGGCTACGGCCTACGCCGGCTTCCATGGTTTTGAGAGCCCCACAGGTGTAGTTCGAAATCCTGAGGGACGGAGGGCTTTCTCGCAGTTTGCCAGTCCACCACGGGACATCGAGTTATTTCGAGCCACCACCTGCGCCATGCGCCGTACACTCCTCGCTTGGTACTTGCCACAAGTCCATGCCAGTTTTGAGCCCTTGAGGTAAGAAGTAGCCGGCTGCAGACGCTTGGCCAGCACTGGGCCAACGGGGGGAACTCAGCCGCCATGCAAAGGCCTTGCCCGCAACAAACTTCTGTTGACGGGTGAATTAATGTTATTTTTGCTCTCTCTCCCTCTCTATACATATGTATGTATATATAATATAGATATTGAAATATGGATATCTTTGACAGGTCTTTCTATTGTTGAATTGAAGTTGCAAGGGCGAGGACCCTAAGATTGCCAGCCCTCATAGCGAGATTTAGAGAGGCTGGCCCAAGGCTACAGATCGAGGTGCAGCCCAAAGCATGAGTTGCACTGCAGGTTGTCTTAGTAGCTGAGTAGGGTAACAGGTGACCTTTTGGGGGGTTTAGAATCCCACCATAATTGAAAAGGTTAGCCCTTTTTCGGCGAGGAGACACAGCACTTATAAGTTTTGGTCGAAGGATTTTACTGTGCACGGTTTTGCTCCTGAGAGGATGTCCGGACGTGAGACAACACGTTCAAGACGGGGAAGCGCAGAGGTTTTTTGACCTTTGCAGTTTCCCCTCAACAAAACAACTCCAGGCTCGGGCGTCCCTGAGCCCTAAACTCTAGATCCGCATGTAGGAGTCTTAAACTGAGTATTCCGACCCTTATTACAGCCCAAAGCCTCCAGTATGCCCGAGCTCTAACCACCGTATGGTAAGCCCTAAAGCACAAGCCCCCCCACAACTTCTCCAATTCGCAAGTCCCAACTCACCAAAAAACAAACGCCATACAAGCAACCCGAGCTCCTGAAATCCTAAACCCCTGAACCCGAAACCCTAAACCCCGACCACAGACCCCTCCTGGTACAGGAATTCTTGCTGTATCTGCAGTTGGAAAGAGCCCATAAATTACAAAACACACACACACACACAAATCCAAACCAAACCCTCCTTACACTGGGGGCTCTCCACCAGCCAATGCGCTGTTCGCCGCGTACCAGGATCCTCGCCCAGGCATGTCCGAGTGTGAGTGCTGAAACCCCAACCAAGGAAGTCAGGCTCGGCTTCCCACTCGACCAAGAAGCTTGCCATGAGTACCAGGGGCCCCAAAGTAGTTCCTTTTTGGGATTACCTTAAAAGGGCTCCTTAAAGGGGTCTATAAGGGATCTATAGTAGGGGTCTATAGTATGAGTACCAGGGGCCCCAAAGATTCTATGCTATTCTGGGGCCTCCTTGTTAAAAGTATAAGTAGTTATAATATACCGATATGCCCCAAAACCCTGTTCTAATTATTTCCCAGGGGCCCCAAAGTAGTTCCTTTTTGGGATTACCTTATAGGATTCTAAATATGAACCCCCCCCAAAAAGGAACTATTTTAGGATTCTAAATATGAACCCCCAAAAAAGGAACTACTTTGGGGCTTTAGGGTAGTACCAGGGGGCTTAGTACTTACCCGAAGGCTTCGTTGTAGTTCCTTTGTTGTGCTTGATAGTTAGGATCCTATAAGGTAAAAAAGGAACTACTACGGAGCTGGGTAGGATAGGGTTTCGGGTTCCTTTTCAAGGCTACTTTCAAGGATACAGAAAGGGTTGCTTTTGGGGTTTGGAGAGAGGGGCCTTCATGCATAGAGCATCGTGTTTTAGTCTGATGGTTTTAGCTATTGGCTTCGCGAGAATGGTGTAGAGGTGTATGTTCTGGGCACTTTTGGTTTAGAGGTGTATTTGGGGGCACTTTTTGGTTTCCACAATTGCTCCGTCAATGTTCGTTTCGGGGGAAAGTAATATTCAGGAGTACAACTATGGCTCATCCTGAAAGCAGGTCTGTGTAGATTTGTCCTTGGCGTTCTTCTGGTTGGCTCTTAGGACCTTATTTTTTGGGGTTTCTTTGTGAAACACAGTAAGGATGCCAAAAGTTTAACTGTTAGGAGGGGTACAGAAGTCAGCCGAATGGTTTGCGTTTGGGGTCGAGAAGCAACGGGTTTAGGAGGAGACTTACAAAACCGAGCAATAGGAACCAGGGCTGCGATAACTCTTCAGTGATTCTGGTGCTGGGGGAGAATTTTGGCAAAGCACGCCCCCCAGCCCTAGCCCCCCCCCACCCCACCCCACCCGACCCCTGATTCACTGCTCTGCCAAAAAAAAAGCCACAACTGGCTACCGAAGAGATTGAACCCCAAACCCGATAGACCCAAAACCACAGTCATCCCTCGTCTATAAACCCTACACCGCCCTGAATTCTGAGTAGCTGCCGAAGCCCAAACCAGTTGTCAATCCTGATTCAGTTCCTGGCCTGAGCCCTGAGACTCATTGGCTTAGGGTTTAGGGTTTAGGGTTTAGGGTTTCGTGGGCATTTTTCACCCCAGTGCTGCTATTTATGAAAGCCTAAGCTAGGTCTCGGTTTGAAGCAAGTTTAGTTTCCCTGGGTGTTTGATGTCGAGCCCTAACTATACTTCATTTAGGGGACTGTTGGAATCGACACCTAGTAACCTTAAACCCTAAATTTACGACGAGCAAAGTCACGAGCTACAGCGTCCTCTCACTGAAGGAAGACAAAGCCATCAAGTCCCAACCCCCTAAGGCCCTAACCCTGGAAACCCTGAACCAAGGTTCTAAAACTGTTAACAAGTTATAATGACAAGAAACAATGTCTATCAATGCACAGAAAACAATAAGATTTAGGTCCTGCAAGAGCCCAAGATGCGCAACAAGGAACAAGCTCAACGTCTTGATTGGGGTTTAGGGGCTTATAGGGTTTTGCGACTCGTAAGCGAGCCCTATCGAGAGCCGAAAAGGATACTCATAATATTGGGGCCGAAACAATCAGCAATACTACTCCTTAGGGCTACTTGCATTGCTCTTTTGCACGAGCTCTATTTCAAGAATAGAGGATATTCGATGCCTTCTCGTAACCCTTGTAGTGTCGCTTACGGAACGTTCGCAGGAACCCTATATATTCTAACTATCCAGGCACCGATAGTACCCCTAGGCCCTGAATCCTCTACCCGATCATTAATGACATCTGGTTCCCGATATCCCCTCGAAACCAAACCCTAATCCCTAAATCTTGAACCCTAATCTCTAAACCCTGAACCCTAAGCCCTGAACCTTAAACCCTAAACTCCTAAACCCCTAAACCACTAAACCCTGAACCCTAAGCCCTAAACTCTCCCATCAAAGTCACCCAGGAGCTTCGAGAATGAGGCAGGTCTTCAAGCTCCACGGCTCTTCGGACAGCAGAGATCCCAACTCCGAACCTGGGTTTAGGGATTTTAGGGTTTGTAGGTTTTGTGGGTTTTAGGGTTTAGGGTTTGTGGGTTTTAAGGTTTGTGGGTTTTAGGGTTTAGGTTTTTAGGGCTTGTAGGTTTTAGGGTTTAGGGAGTTTAGGGCATATAAAAGTCTGTGCAAAAGGGATTTTAGGGTTTGTAGGTTTTAGGGTTTGGGGTGCCTCGAACCTTCTCCTAGCAGGGTTTGAGGTTGTATAGAAGTTCTATGAGAGTTAGAGAGAGGTTTTCATACAGGGATTCAGAGGTTTCGGGCAGCTACTTAGAGGATCATGGGACTCAGTAAGTAGGGCTATAAGCCAGGTAACTATAGTTATATCTACTTGTAACCCCAATTAAGGTACTTATAACCCTAATTACTAAGTCCCACGTAGTACGAACATCTCCCAATAATCCTTCTCTATGCGGTGCTGTGTGGTCTACTACACTCCAAACCCCTGCTGTAGCCATTGATGCTCCTATGTTCATGCCATTGTAGCTCCCTTTTAGGGCCCCCTCTACGAACCCTTCATGAAAACCCTTTAAACCCTAAGCCCTAAACACCGGATACTTCATTATCACTTTAGCTTTCGGCAATGTTCACTGCTCCGCGTAGTGTTGAACTGAAAGTCAGCTACCCTGTAGACCCAGTTAAAGAACTCTGACACACCCGAGACCTCGTTTGGCTTCACCGAGTTGCGAGAGCGTAAACACCCCTAAACCCTAAACCCTAGGCCCCTAAACCCCTAAACCTTAAGCCCCACAAGTCCCCAAGAGGGCGAAAACACGTCAAGTAGCGCCCAAACCCTTCATACGAGCATGATTTTGGCTAGGTACCATACTTTGATACTTAAGGAAACATCACTCAGAGAGCCGCCCTCCTCAGGTTGAAGCCAAAGGATGCGGAATCCCTGCAGGCAGGAAGGGAGATTTCCGGTTTCGGGCTTAGCGGTAGCCCTAAACTTACCTTTGGTTAGTCGGGAATGGAAGAATGGTAGCAATAGTAGTTATACTTGCACTCCATTCCTCCATTCCCTGCGAACCAAAGGTAAGTAAACCCAGATCCTGGGGTCTTAATTTGTTTTTGTGCTTCAAGGGCTCAAGGGTCAAGGGCTTTGGCCTTAGGGGTGCAGGCGATGCGGCCCTGTATGTACGGACCATGAACTTTACTGTTGCTGGGTTCAGGGCTTTGGGGCTTGGGTAAGTGTGGCGCTTGCCTTGTCTTGTCGTCATGGGATTGAAGACATCACGTTTGCCATGTCTTCGGTGCCGTTCACGGTTGGCACATGTTGGTACCATCGTCGTCATGTTCTTGCTTTTTCTGCATTTCGTTTGACTGCCTCCAGAAGCAGGACTGCCGCGATCACCTTAGTCTGAATGGTATGCCGCTTTGCGTTCGAAGGCGATCTTTCTGTGTTCCTCGGAGGTTACCCCTGAACCCTAGGTTCCTCGGAGCTTACCGTCATAACGCTCATAAACCCGAAGGCCACCCCCTAACACGAAACCCAGGCACACTGGAAGCAGTTTCTGGAAGCAGCCGGCGGCGAGGAGAATGCCGGGAAGGAGCGACTGGGCAGCACAAGCAGCGGGCCATGCTCCCCAACAACTTCGAAACGATTTGCGGGGGCAGGGGGGGGGGGTCCGTTTAGGAGTTCTACAAGAGTTCAATGCGGGCTCTTGTCTAGAATTAAGGGGTTTGGGGTTGAATGGATGATGCCTGATGCCAGTTTCGTGTAGGCACACATGTCGATGGCTCCGACACAGACATCAAGGTAAAAACATGAAAAGAGCGCCCTGAGCAGAACAAGAAAGATGCACTGTATAGTCAGAGTTTACGGTTTAGGGGTTTAGGGGTGACGCTTTAGAGATTCATGGTAATTATAGATGTTCTTAGCCTGAGCCTCGGGCTCCCACCAGAGAGCAGAGCAGTTCACATGCTCCAATCTCGCATGCCAAGCTTCACTTCCACACCTAGGGTAGGCCAGGTACCTTGAAAGGGGTAAATGTACCGTTTTGTTGAGGGCCATATCCTCTTTTTGAAGGTACATTGGTTACTCCAGGTAGACCCTCAATCCAAAGTACTCCTAAAGGTCCCCAGCAAGGATTAGCCACCTAAATCTAACATGCCAGACCCTAAAAACCCCAACAGCATGTCCATACAGATATGTACCCCTAGAATGCAAAACCCTCCCCCCGCCCCAAGGTTCTACCAGCTCCTGTTCGAAAAAGAGCCAGCAACTTGGCATCGAACTCGTTCTTTAGGGTTCAGGGCATATTCCGCACTCCGGCGTGCGTTTGTGAGTATATGGTCTTTAGGCTGGGTGGGTTTGAATGAGTTTAGAAGGGGGGGGGGGTGGGTTTGTGATGGGTTTCGGGTGGGTTTGGGTGGGTCTGGGTGGGTCTGGGTGGGTTTCGGTGGGTTTGGGGTGAAGCCTTTTGTGTCACAGGATGTTGTAAGCGGCATAACTACTTTTCAACTTCTAGAGAGATCCCCGATATGTCTGAAGATGCCGTTGGTGATAAAAATCCTGCATTACCCGTAGTGAGGAAAATCTCTCTCTCTCTCTCTCTCTCTCTCTCTCTCTCTCTCTCTCTCTCTCTATATATATATATATATATATATATTGCATATAATAATAAAAATAACAATAATAATAATGATAATAACAATAATAACAATATTAACAGCAATAATACGAATAATAATAATCTCCATAGCCTAGGGTCATTAAAGTAGTGCAGGGTTGCGTTCATATCATCAGCCGTATCTTGCTTGTGCGGAGATTGTGCTCTCCCTCTGGGCCAGGCCAAGCCATTTCCTTCGGCGGAAACGAACCCCCTTTATGGCAAGACTTCAAGCCCGTTTTAGGCGTTTTAGGGTTGAGGGTTTGGGTGATTTGTTTGTTGTTTTTGCCTGGTGGTTGCAGGTTGAGGTTTATATGCCAGAAGCGCTATAATTGTGATTATACCTGCAAGCATGCACGTCTTCAGAAATACTTTACCACGTGTGCACATACCTGAAATACCCATACTGAAGATGGTGGCCGAAGCCGCCCCATGCCACAGCCGCCAACCCTCATGATTGTCGGAACAATGCGGTTAGTATAAAAGCATCCCCTGGGTTGTCTTATCATATGCTCCAATGCTCCAATCATTCGAAATGTAGAGGCGCCCATGTTAGAAATTCAAGCTCGGGATCCTGGAAGCCTCAAATCCATGTAAACCTAAGCCCTACAGACCCTAGAATATAAGCCCTAAGAGCCAGGAACTCAAAGTCCTGTTCACTGGCCCAGAAGTGGCTCAGTGGTCCAGCTTCTCGGCGATGAGGGTCCCGGATTCAGCTCATGCGTTTCGGATTATGGAGCATAGGGCTAGGATGTTGGGCTTTATCACTTCATAGGGCTTAATAGGACTTATTAGGGTTTCGGGGTAAGGTTCCCATAAGGGATACGTATTGGTGTCATGTCCACGGACTCCTCTAGAGGGCCTTTTAGGCGTTAATGCTGTTCAGGTTTCAGGGTTTAGGGTTTAGGGTAACCCTAAACCCTAAACCCTACACCCTAAACCCTAAACCCTAAAGGGTTCAGGGCTCAGTCGGCGCCTTGGTTCCTGCATGCGCATAGCCCAGGTTTAAAAAAGATTCAGGCTTGGGTGGCGATTGCTCTGAATGACATGGAGTCGGTAGAAGCGCGGGGGTGCCAGCGGTTCAGGGTTTTTAGGGTTTACGTATGTCTTAAAGTTCCATAGTCTACCGATAGGCTCCATCGTAGTTCCCTTTGGGGGATTCCCTTCTTGGATTCTTTGTATAAACCACAGAAAGGAACTACAACGGGGTCTGGCGCTCTGCCGGTCTTTGGTTGGGAGGGTGTAGGCAGGGGCTTGGACATGCCAGCAAAGCGCAGTAAAGGGCTTCTAGTGATTATAGTCCCTTAGAGTCATGATTCCACCAAGATTAGCCAAGAGAGATACCCAGCTGTCCAGTCCTGTTCACGTGTAGTGTATCTGAATTCGCTCCACCCGTCCACCACCAGCACAGCGCAAGCAATATGATCTTTTTTCTTCGTGTCCGTCTTAGGGCTTGAGAGCAGGATGCACGTGCTGTTGACTTGCTGTCCATAGAAGAACCATGTACATTATTGTTGCGGGCGTCGGGCCTGTAAACATGATCTGAGGCTTTATGCGGCACATGTCGCGGATCATCGCGTTGCTTGGCCGGCCATTGGGAAACCTTAAACCCCTAAACCCGTAAACCCTACCTGTGACCCCAAACCCTCTGGAATAGTAGGTCATTACCCTTAATTTATAGGGTCCAACCCCTAAAACGGTAGGTTTTTGGATCCACAGGTATCAACTATTGGGGATCGAGGAATCTGTATCTTCCCAAACCCTATGCCGCCACTGGCCATAGCCAGTTCGTCCCTGGGCCTTCGGCTGGGGCTACACCGCAACCTGCACCGAGATCCATGCATAGTATAGGGGCCTAGATAATTAGCAACACTATGTTGGGTTCTGTATCGTTCATATCTTGTCATGACAAACCCGAAGACCCTCTTCTCATCATAAAGGCCCTTACAATGCATATCTTGCGCCTCCAGGGTGTAAAGCCCGGTCGCGCCCCCTGAATTCGGGGCTCTCGTGTTGGTGGTGGAGGCTCGCAGCCCCAAAAGCTAAACCGAAAGAACGACAGCAAGGACAACGGCGGCAAATACATATAGGAACTGCGAGCAACGACTTACGCTGCTGTGAGAAGGCAGCATCACTAAGTCCCCTAGGCTCCCATTATACATATATATATATATATATATATGGTCACGCGCTCCGCAGCCCCCCCCCCCTCCCCCCCCAAAGGTCAATGGTCCGGATATAGGGTGGGGCCCCCCCCTCCCCTGTGGTGTGGGGTGTGGGGTTCCTCTTCCCCCTCTGGGGTGGTTGTGGGGTTTTGGGGTTTAGGGTTTAGCTTAAGCTTTTGAGTTTTGGGTTTACGGCTACAAGGTATAAGGCTTCGAGTCGACAACGGCTTAGGGAGGATTTGCGGTGTATTTTCTGCTTTAGGCTTAGAGCCTGCAGTTAGGTGGGGTTTAGGGTTGGGTGTAGCGTTTTAAGTACAAGTTAAGGTTGCTCAAAACAGGGGCAGGCGCTGCGTCATAGGGTTTACGGCTTGCTTGCGAAGGGCTTGCGCGTGAGCCCTGGCAGCCAGCACTACCCCACCATCCAGTGGCAGCTCCAACGGCCCCCAACCCCTTTCCGCACACGCCAGGCCCCCCCCCCCCCCACCCCTGTCAGACCATACCATTGGGGGGGGGGGGCTGGGAACGCCAGACGCCTGACCATATATATACATATATATATATATATATATAACAACTCCCTCTCAAGGCCCCCTGAACTTGTGAAGGTCGAATCGTAGGATTCGGCTCCAGTATGTCTAGGAGGGTCAGAGATGGGACACGGTGTTGCGTGCAGAGAGTCGTAAGCTTGTTCTAGGGTTTCAGGGATCTTAGGGTTTAGATCTCTGGGCGTAATATGGTTTAGGGCTTAATTTCAGCTTTTGCGCTCTTCAGGGCTATAGCCAGAAAGCGGCTCAGGATGTAATACGCTGAGGGCGACGTTTGTTGCATTTGTTGGTGTGGCTAGCTAGCCGGCGACTGTTCTGTTCCTTCCTGTCAGGATGTCACTTTCTTGCAGTAGAAGTGCAGAAGTTTACTATGTTCGTGTAATTAATTTGTCCTTGGTGCTTGAATGTTGTCATCACTATGTCCACTATGTATTCTCGTGTATATTGCGCTTCTGGACTTCTTCATGTGCGAATTGTTGTCCCGCAATTAGCAGTGGCTTGATGCAATCTTGTTGCATTGTTGGTGTGTTGTTTCCTGACCGCCGGAACTGGGATTCAAAATTTACCTAGACCTTAGACCATGGCAACGGCTTTCAACCAAATTCGATAATCTGCGGCGGGGGTTCCAATTTCGAGAACCGCAGCGAGAATTACATCCCCTGTGCTCACTCTGTATGAGCAAACCGCCATACATATATATATATATATACACATAGAGAGAGAGAGAGAGAGAGAGAGAGAGAGAGAGAGAGAGGTATACGTAAATATGTATATTGTTAAAGCCGCCCCGAGCGCCCATGAAACCACCATCCTGCCCAGAGAGCCGGGAGACGATGGCAAACAAAAACAGAGGGTTTTGGAAGGCACAGGTGTATGCGTGTACTTATGCATACATATATATATATGTATAATGTATATACACATATTTACGTATTTGTATAAATGTTTAAGATATTTTGTTCAGAATAGTACAGGTGATAGTTAAACACAGTCAGAACTGTATTCATCATCTTTTGCTTGGGATACCAATTTTTCATAGGACATATATGTATAATATATACATATATATATATATATATATATATATGATGCAGGGCTGCCACACCCCCCTTCCCCCCCCACCCCATGGTATCCTCCCCCCTTCCCCCCCGCCCCCCCTGTGGTGTGGGGCCTGTGGTGGTACTCTTTTTGCCGCGACGTTCTTATGTGTTACTCCTTGTCTTCGCTCTTGCTGTGGCACCGGTGATACTGCTCATGATGTTGTGCTGCTCTAGACCGGGACATGAGTCGACAATCAGACTATGCTAAACATCATCCTTGTCGTCGTCATCTTCATCATCAATACCTTCCTCGAATATCTGCCACCATCACCATCGCCATACAACCCTCATACTTCAGCATTGCCATTCATGTCAGATGCTGGAAACTACTGAGCCGATTGCCACTTTCCGCACACGGCAGGGCATAGTGCGACACTCCCGATCCGCGCACAAGGCCCAGCAGGGGCGAGCAAGGTGCGGCCGGGGGCGGGCCGGGGCGCAGGGTGGGTGGGCGTGCAGCGAGGGGGGGTGGGGGGATACCATGGGGGGGGGTGGCGGCCCGGGACCCGAGAGCATATATATATATATATATATATATATATATATATATATATATTCTCGTCTGACCTGTTAAGCACGAGTGACACACACACACATATATATATATATATATATATATATGTATATACACATATTTATTTGTTTATTTATTGAATCACTTAACAACACATGCATATACAGGTTTTCACCTGTATAGTATACACCTAGAGGCTCATACCTTATTCCTTTTTCAGGATACCTAGGTTTATTGTTAGGATCCGCTCCAAGGAAAAGTAGTTACCCTAAAAGGGGTAGGGTATGAGCCTACAGGTACACACACACACACACACACTACACACACACACACACACACACACACACACACACACACACACACACACACACGTGGGTAAGGCTTCTGAGCCCTGAGGATATGCCACCAGCCGGAGCAGCTCAGGACGATCGTGGAGAACCTGGTGGCCAGACGGAGTTTCGGGTTTTTAGGTGTTTTCGGGTTTAGGGTTTTAGGGTTTAGGGCTCTGGGTTTCGAGTTGTTATGTGTTTTTTTGTTTTAAGGGTTTTGGGTGCTTTAGGCGATCTTCTGTTTTGGGATTTGGGGTTATTCGTTTTTTCGGGGTTTTGGGTTGCTCGTTTTAGAGTCTTTAAGTGTAGGGTTGTTCGTTTCAAGGTTTTTAGGGACTGGATTTGTTCGTTTATGGGTTTGGGGTGTCTGCTTTCTCGGCTAAGGGCTTCAGTTTACGGCACACGATAACTGATCCCGGCTTCTGACTGTTAGTGCAACCGAAGCCAGCAACCCCGGCCTTAAGGACTGTAGGTTGAGGGTGTATTATAGGGTCCTTGAGGGAGGGTGGTTCAAGGGGGGAGGGTAGAAAGGATCCTTGGGGAACCTTAAGGGAATCTGAGGGAGCACTAGAGAGAAGTAGGGATTAGTAGCTGATCTACCCCCTCTGGAGCCCCCTCCCATAAGGATATTGTAGGTGTAGGGTTTAGGGTTTAGGGTTGGTCATGCAACATTCCCACGGTTGTTAGTGCAGCTGCTGCTGCTCTTGCTGTTCGATCGCTGCATGCGGCATCGTTGGCTGTTTGGCTAATTGCCCGACGAGATCTTGTGTGCTGTATTTGGGAGTTAAGAGCGGCAGGTTGAGGACGAGCGTATACATTCGTAAGGTGCCCGACCGCCCCATCCCCCGTTTGAGACTTGAAATGCGCACGAAGCTCAGGCATTTCTGCACATGAACTTTCCCATCTCTCAGGCGGGAACCCTGGAAATCGCATGACGACGTGTTGAGCAGTTGAAGACTCTGGTTTCGATTCTAGTTCGAGTGGCTCAAACCTCGGATTGAGTCCTGGAGTTGCAGGCGGAGGCTTGCACTTGCAGTTCAGTGTTCAGAGTTTAATCAGAAGGCAGAAAGCGGTTATAGCAATCCGTCGTCTCTGAATACTTTAAAGATAGTTTCTTCAGGTTCCAGGCAATAAGGGTCTGAAGAAGTACCTACAGCATCAAGTCGTGGCTGCAGCACTTCGAGGTGGATATGCGTGCAGCAGCCGTGTCTCTACCGGCAGCACAGGTACTGTCGGGTTTGCCTGACCCGGTAGTGCTCGCTGTGAATGGTTCTGCAAGAGGACCGTCAATGGTGGATTGCCCACGTCTGCAAGGCCATTGCTGCCGGCTATGCACAGCACCTTCAAGATTGCAGCAACAAGCCGGACACCACTGAACTGGCGACCCATCTAACTTTCTATCCGGCATGAGTGGCGACTCTTTCCTGCAAGGCATGTTGCCCAGGCGGAATATTGTACATTGTGTGGCATACCCTTGCTGGTACCACTCTGGTTTTCGAGAGCACCATCACCTCAAGCACTTCGCCGTGGACGCCTCCTTCATGTGATGTGGCCACTCCTTGATCAGAGAAGCAGAGGAGCATGACAAGGTTCAGCAACGCCGCATCAGACGGGGAACGTTGGGGAAGTATGGGGCGGCCTTGCCTCCCCTCACCGTGCTTGGTCCCCGGGCACCCACCTATGCGGAAGTGGTGGCTGCAGAAAGTAGACCTCACACTTGGCTGCACCTCGCAGCTCTACCGGCCCTATCCACGGCTCGTCTCCTGGATTCTGGATTACGTTTCCGGATCCTCAACCAACGACCGCGGACTTTCGGCGCTCCCGCCGAATCGCTCGCAGGTGTCAGGCTAGTGCTTCGCCGGATGTTTCGCCCGTTTAGGTAGTTGCAGGTTTGGGTCGCGCTCAACTGGGCACTACTGACCCACACACCGAAGCCTCATTTGTTAGGGTTCATATATGAATCTGGTTAATTGTGTATAACCCTAAACCCTAAACCCTAAACCCCTAAACCCTAAACCCTAAACCGTTATAATGGCTCCTATGTCATGTTGTTGGCAGAAGCTCTCTGCCACCCTACTCCTAATTGCTTATAAACTTGCGTCCTCAACGCAGAAAATCTGTTATACCAGTCCAGACCTTGTCTACTAGGTTCCTGGTCATTACATTGTAAATAAAATATGAGCCAAAAGTCACAGATCCTGCAAGCAACTTCGCTTTAAATCGAGGTTTCATATAATTTAGAACAGGGTTTTGGTATATTTGAGTATGATTTTGGGGTCTGCTGTACTGTAACTATTTGCAAACTGTTCTGCTTCTTCCATTTCCTTCAGTGGAGGACGGCATCTATGCCTTTGCCGAGTCCCTACTGGAGCCTCCCGGCTTCCCACACCGTTCGCTTTTTTTCGGGTTTGGGATCCTTCCGTTTGATCCTTAGAATTAGCAGGGCCCGAGGGTGCAGGGTTTAGGGTTCAGTGTTTGGGGTTTAGGGTTCAAGGTTTAGGGTTCGGGTTTGGGGTTTAGGGGTTGGGGTTCAGGGTTTAGGGCCATCCTGGTAGTCCAGGTGTAAAAGGGCCATCCTCCACATACGCGGCAAAGGTAGGTCACCAATGTCTGAACATTTGTATGAGAAGGTGACATTCACACCCTGTTGTGCTGCAAACTAGAAGCTGTGCGACAGAAAAGCCAACACAATGCAACAACTTGCAACTACTATACTACCCAGTGGTATTGTTGATGCAGCATGCTGAAGCAGACACTCGTCATTCTGGAAGACGAAAAGAACCCATGATACAATTCAAGTGGAGGCACCTGAAGAAAATCGGGGTTTCGGGCCGAGGTTAAAAATGCAAAGTTTCGTTGTTCGGGTTCAGTGTTTCGGATTGACGGCTAACGGCTACGGCTTAAGGGTTTAGTCTGTTGTGTCGCACCGTTGCGTTTGCAAGGGTCCGAAGTAGGGATTTGCACCTCTAGTAGGGTTAGTGTACCTGCAACTGTACCATGTACCCCGCCTGCCACTGTAATTCCAAGATGACATGGTCACGAGCTAGCTCGTGTTTGAGCCTTGGGTCTTACACTGTCCCTTGCCCTCAGGCAAGTTCCAGATCTTGAAGTCAAGCGATCATCCTAAATCCGCAGTCCTAGCTTCCTGTGTAGTACCCTTTTGCCCTTTGATTTTTTGGCTTCCATTCTTGCAGCTGAAGATAGTATTATATAGCAGGAAACAGGGCACCCTTGCTGTTACGGGGCTACTCAGGAACCTTCCTCCTAAATCCGCAGTGCTAGCTTCCTGTGTAGTACCCTTTTGCCCTTTGATTTTTTGGCTTCCATTCTTGCAGCTGAAGATAGTATTATATAGCAGGAAACAGGGCACCCTTGCTGTTACGGGGCTACTCAGGAACCTAACCCTAAGCCCTAAACCCTAACCCTGTGCCTCTTTGCCCAGCTACGGATACCTTTTCGTAGTAGGTGTTTGTTGCGCTCGTCGGGTTTTGGTTCAGTGTTGGGGTTTTAGGGGAGTTTCCGAAAGTTAGGGGTAGCTTATTTTGGGGTCCTTATAATATGGATCCAACTATTTAGCTATATTACGGTCCCCTATTTTCGGAAACTCCCATAGGGTATGGGGTGATGATGCGGATGTCTTTAGCACTTAGGATTGAGCGGCTTGGTATTTGCCTTGCCCAAAGCGAACAAAACCCCGCTAGTGAGGTGCTAGGAATGCTTGTACACCATACACCGAAGTCCTCTCCCTTTTTAAGTATCCACGTCCGCACTAACTCGCACAAAGCTTGTGAAGACCGGAGGGGGCGTGCTGAGCTGATCCGAGTCCTGTAAGGTGCTTGGAGCATACGTTGCCCGATATCCAGCCTACGGTGATGGAGCGCCCGGACTTCGATCCATGTTGGTGCCTGTAATTTAGGGGCCTAAATAATTACCAATACTATTTTGTGGGTTCCTTATTATGACTACAGCATAATAGGCCCCAAAACCCTATTCATCAAGGCCCTTATAGTAGGTCGCCGCAAGTAGGTCATAACAAGCCTCGGGCCGATGGACTAGAACCCCAAGAACAAAACACATGTAGCTATACACGAATCAGGTCTACCCAAGTACCGCTGCCGGGTTCGAGATTACTTTGCTTTAAAGTTTCGTCGCAGCCAAAGCCGAGTCCAGTCGGAAAGTTTGGGGTCCAGGTTGAGAAGTCTTTTGCGTTTGTCCAGTCAGAAAGATTCGGGACTGTTGATGTTTAGGGCTTGGGAGGTGATGTAGGGTTTCAGATGCCGATGTTTGGGTATGTAATGGGAGTTTCCGAAAATAGGGGACCCTAATATAGTACCCTAAATAGTAGGATCCTTATTTTAAGGACCCCAAAAGAAGGTACCCCCTCATTTTCGGAAACTCCGATTTGGGGTGTTGCCGCTTGGGGAAGTGGAACTTCAAGTGACTGCTTGTCACAGGACCGACGATATGACCTTCAGACGGGGCTGTTTTTTGGGAGGGAAGGCCAAAGCCGGCCTGCACAATCTTTCGGTCCAACTATGCACAGTTGTTTGAAGGAGTTGCCCCAGATGCCAATTTTGAAGTTGAAGCCTTTCTACGTAAACAGAGTAAAAGCGGTGCCGAGCGAATGCTGAGAGTGTCACAGACTTTGGGGGTGGTGGGGTGCTGATAGGTCAGATTGACCTTAAGAGCACCTCGGGGTATGTTTGCGAGCGATGTATGAGCTTACATACATACACACACACACACATATATGCATATGTATACACACAGACAGACAGATAGATGTCTGTATGCTTGCAGCTTATGCATGCATGTATGTATGCACGTAGGTGTGTATGCATGAGGTTTGCTGACACTTACTTCTTTGAATGTACACAAATGTATGTATTCATTGTCCCGCGAACGGTACAATGTTTTGTCCACTGGACGCGTCTGTGACTTTGTGCCGCCTCATGCCGCACGTGGATGGGTGGCTGCAGAGATCTGCAGAGGGATACAAAAAGACAACCCGAGCATGCAAACATATGCAACCGCAAGTCATGGACCCGTTCCTTTTGAGGCATTTGCTGGAGACCCTCACTGAGATCACGAATTACATTGGGCAGGCCCCTTGCAGGAAGTTGGAAGGGTCCCGTGTGTCAGAACGACGAAAGTCGTCTCGAAGATTCCATGCCTCAAATATTTAGGAGTATCACGTCTTCCAGAGACTCCGTTATTACGTTGGGACCTACGATAGTAGAATAGGGCTTTCTGGTTCCTACAGATGAGAACGGCTTTGGGATGTATGGCTTTAGGGATACATGTGGTGGGATTGAAATGAAATAGTTATGCAATTAAATGTGGATGCGGTCTGTCGGGACCAGGGACTGTGGTACCACATAGACGCCGGCGTGTAACGATCCATGCGGCTGCAGGCACCGGAGTGTACGGATCTCATTACCTGCAATCCCTTCCCTGAGCTGTAAAACGTAAGTCGCAAAACCAGAACCCTTTCTCCTTGTCCACCTCCGTTCAACGAAATCCTGCGGAATTTGTCGTGACAGCTTCTAGCTTTTGGTGTTGGGATTTCAGGACCAGTTCCAGGCATTGCCTACGGCACTGACATCATATTCTTCAGAGCTGTGTACATCAGTGGTCTGACAAATCACACCCCAACCCGAAGACATTAACCGTGAAACTCAAAGTCTATTGGCACATGCCTCCCCTCGACTGTTCGAGTTGTGAGCGCCGGGAACCCAAAACCGTAGCGCCAGCAACGAGCGAGCAAACCCAAAACCCCGGTTTGGGAGCCACATCTCGAGCTGGATCGCGATAGCGGACTCAGGCCCCTGTGTTAGTTGGGGAGCATGGGCTGTTCGTCACGATGCCTGCGCTAGCTTCAGAGAACTCGTGACAGCCCTGGACGGCTGATTTAATGTAGGGGCCCAAATAATTACCAATACTATTTTGGCGGTTCCTTGCTATACCTATAGTATAATGGGCCCCAAAACCCTATTTTAAATATTGACGCCCCTACAACAACAGGCCCTTGCATGTAGCAGTCAAGAAGTTGCCTTGCGCTTTGTTGAACAGCTCCGGTGACGAGTGCTACCATTGGGCCGAGAATTGGATGTACGTTGCTTGCGGCTGCTTCTCTCCCTCTTACCTATGCCACCCAGGCAACTTTTATTGTGTTGTTATCTTAGGAGAACATGGCGGGTTCTGGTAGCTGCAGCCCAACGGGGCCTCACCCATACAACGAAACGAAAACACAAAGGTGTGCGCAAAGCCCCAATCCTCGAGACAGTCTTAAACCCTGAGCACGTACTCCGAAAGCCCGCGACCTCCCTAAAGCAACCAAGGTCATCGCACAAGTGAGAGAGAACTGCGCCGACATGCACAACCTGTTGATCCCCGGCTTTATGGTCTAAGGTTTAGGGTTTAGGGTTTAGGGGTTTAAGAGTTCCAGACAGTCGTGGGTTGCACTTGTTCTTGGGATCATCCCGATCGGGGACAGGCACCGTGGCAAAGGCTTGGGGTTGACAGGGCTGATAAGATTTGGTATTTAGGAGTCGTGGTTTTTGGGGCCTTTTAGCCTGGGGTTTAGGTTGAAGTACCCTGAACCCTGCTTGGAGGATCATGGGACTTAGTAAGCAGGGTCACAAGTACCGTAACTGGGGTAACAACAGCAGGCACAAATATACTCACCCGACAACAAAGGTAAATCCCTAAACCCTAAACCCGCTGGGTGTGTGGAGAAGGTCTTTTGACCCAAGCTGCAAAGCCTCCTGATCGGAAACCACTTAAATGATCATGGGACTTGGTAACTAGGGTTATGACTAGAGAGTAACTATACTTATGGCTACTTATAACCCCAATTCAGGTACTTGTAACCCTACTTACTAAGTCCCACGATCTCCAAGTAGGCCCAAAGCCAAGAAGAACCACACTCAATGCCCCAAAGCCACCTCAAGACCCACTCCGCAAGAGGGAGGCCCTAAATGCAAAACCCTGAAACCCCGAACTTTATAAAAACCCCCAACGCTTAAGCTACCCTAAGCCTTTTTATTATTATATAAGCCCTACACCCCTAAAGCCTTTAGCCCTAAACCCCTAAGCCTTGAACTCCGCACAATCAGGAAGACAAGTTGGAAGCAGGCGCAGGAGAGAAACATGCAACCCACTGCTGCTCCTCCGCCGGAGGAGGCTGCTTTAGGGTCTTTTGGGCCTATACTGTTAAAGGAACCCTTGAAGGGATCGATAGGGGTTTCCTTTAAGGGTTCCTTTAAAGAGTTTTTGGGGATTCAGGGTTTTAGGGTTTGGGGTTTAGGATTGAGGGCTATACTATCAGAGTTTAGGGTTTCGGGAACTCATACTATTAAATTAGACTTTGGTATGGTTTGCATGTGGGGCTTTGGTCGTAGGCTTATAGGGTTGAGGTTTGAGTTTCTGCAGTTCGGGTTTTCGCTTTCAGGTTTCCAGGCTGCATAGAGCAGAGGCGTGGGCTTTGGGGCCGCATGGATTTGAGATTCCTTTCCTTTATGGTTTCAGGGTCGCGGGTGGGTCGGTATGTAGGTAGGCGGCTTGCTAGGTAGCAGGCCATCTAGCTAGGTTGGCAGAAAGCCATGTAGCTAGTTGTCAAAATTAGGGTCCCGTTTTGGGTCCTTATTATACTACGGCACCTAATTTTTAGGGTACCCAAACAGGGACCATAATTTTGCCAACCACCCATGTAGCTAGCTAGGTTGGCAGTAAAGGCCACCAAGCTCCGCGGGCCCAAAGCCCCTAAGCCTCTAGCAAAATCGCAAGTCTCCGAGCCCGGCGACCGATCCACCCTGAGAATCCTAACCAACTTACTTCGGGGCTTTCAATATTACACTTAAGTTTTGGGGCATATTAGTCTCTCCTGGTATCACCGAAGGAATTAGGGTAACATAATATGTTACTCTATTTTTCGGTGATGCCAGGACCTCTATACAGGAACATCTAGAGACCCGAAGCTCCAGAATGCAGAGCCCAAAACCTCAAAACCTACGGCTGATGATATAAATCCTGCATTGCCCATGATAAGGATTATACCATAAATCCCATAGTTTAGGGCCCTTAAGGTAATGCAGGATTTATACCATCAACAGCATGAACTTGAATCCGATAACACAAGCCGGAAAGCCTTTCGGCCCTAAACACCCAAACCCTAAACGGCCCCCCAAACCGTATGCCCAGATGCCTCGCCAGGTGCGTCCGAGTGTGAGCGCCGAAAGCCTAAGCCTTAAACCCTAAGTCCTATAGGCCCTATCAGCCAAAAACTCTACCTTAACACCGAAAAACCTACATTTTTAAGGACTAATATATATATATATATATATATATAAGCAATTTATAGTGAGGAACCCTAAAAATTACGTTATTCAGGGTTAAGGTAAACCCTGAGGGACAAAAGCCTTAAGCTCCTAAACCCTAAGTCCTACGCACAAATCGAGAAGTGTACCAAGTCAAAAGTCCTAAGCCCTATCAGCCCCAAACCCTAAACCCTGAGGGAAGAAAAAACCCAAACCTTCGCCTTTGCAGACTTATATAAGGAAATCAGAAGAAGGTACCCTAAAAAGGCTGGTTAATCAGGACTAAGGTAGTCCCTGAGAGAAAAAGCCCTAAACCCTCACCTTCGCAGACCGATCCGGACCTTCCAAGCATTGACTTCGACTCGGACGAAGACTTCGACGAGCCCACCATGACGGAGGGCAAGGAGGAGACGGCCTTTAAAGACAGAAGAGGGTTCAGGGTATAGGGAAACAGTCTTTTTCAAAAATGTCTTTAAAGACAGAAGAGGGTTTAGGGTATAGGAAGACAGTCTTTTCAATCAATAGAAGAGGGTTAGTTAAAGCTGTCTAAACCTTCTTCGGCTCTTGAAAGGTCCTCTCCGTGAGGAGATCTTTGGCCCCTAGTTCAGGTCTTGGGGACTCCCAGCACTTAGAATTCAGAAGGGTGGTTGTCAAAATTATCTTCCCTTGTGGGTACCCTTGAAATTAGGTGCCGAACTATATTAGAGACCCAATTTTGACCTCTACCCATAAGGCTCACACGGATTACATAGGGTCTGGGGTTCAAACTTGAGTAGTTAGCCTGTTACTAAACTAATGATAATGTTACTATGATGGTTCTTCAAGCGCGTAAGAACATACGTACACGTACGTATTACGTATGTGTGTGTGTTTATATATATAGATATATGATAGTGCCTGGAATATTTACGAATACTGTTGCTGAGGTTCCCTTTTTACATAAACCTTGTAGTATAAGATGCCCAACTCCTGGAGGTCTAGGGTTAGGAATTTGTGGCTAGAGTCAGTTTGGAGATGTTCGACCGGATTGGTGCTGGTGGGATTTGCGAGTTCGGGGGCCTCGAAGATGTACCTTGCTTTGGTTCCGTCTTTGGTGGACCTTATAGGACCCTAAAACGGTTATGTAAACAAAAACATGAAACTGCAACAGACGCAGTTTACGAACGAAGGGTGATTACAGGCTCCAGGGCATGCTAATCAATCTATGCAACTGTCCTTGGGCTATGATGCGCGACTGCCCTCACAAGTGTGAATGCTTTGGACTTCTGTGTGGCTGCTAAGCATGGCAGACAAGTAACGATTTTTGTGTTGAGGATTTCGTCGGGTCGACACTGTCGTTGCTGTAGGGACTGTAGGGTTTTATTTGTGGCTGTGGTAGTGCTGTCTCTAGTAATTACCGGCAGCGAGTATCTTCGGCGCGCTCGCTGTTTCTTTGTCGTATTCACTTCGTTCCCTAAGTCGAAGTAGAAGTAGTCGGCGTTGTACTAGTAGTTGTCGTCGTCGACGTCGTGCAGCAGGAGCTCTAGCTGCAGTGATTGTGTGCGAGGCAAAGCCAAGAGCTCTTCGTATTAATATTGTTATTATCATCATTATCATCATTATTTTTACTATTATTCTTATCATCACTAGTATTACATAGTATTTTTGGTATTGGTATTGTCTTTTCCTTGCTGCGTTCCTCGAGTCAAAGGTTTATTCCTAACCTCACGGGAGAGGCAGCGCTGCGAAATTCACGCCAACGTTTTGCTGGTTTTACGGGTTTAGGGATTTATATAATACAGGGTTTTAGGGGTTTAGAGGTTTCTTTGTTCAATCTTTAGGGTTTTCGCACCGTTACGCTCGAAGCGCATCCTGCAGCAGCGAACAGCGAAGTACGCTTCAGCTTTTCGACTCACAGGGTCTTGCTAGAGAGTTTATTGTTTTAAAGTACCATAACAAGGATTTCTATATTATATACTATTATAGATCTGTCTTATATTATCTATATAGATCCTTTTTACGATATTATCTATATAGATCCTTTTTACGGTACCTTAAACATTATAAAGTCCTTAACAAGAGTCCAGCTTAGCCCAGCACGTGGCGAGGGCAAAGATGACAAGAAGACGCCCAAGAAGGGCGACGACACTCGGAGAGAGTCAGTGGTACTGTTGATGGACAAAATCCTGGTTTAGGGTTTATAGGGTTTAGGGGAGGGGTTTAGGGGTTTTGGGGTTTATGGGCTAAGGGGTTTGGGGACTCGGAGAAACTCTGTCGAACTTTGCACCTCGAAGTTTTCAGATACTACCATTATTTGAATATACCCGTACTATAAGGGTTGTATCAGGGTTCTGTAAGGGTTTAGGGTATAAGGAGATGTAAAACACACCCCAACGTAGACTTCATGCTCCTGCTTACTGCGGCTCTGCTGTAGTTTGGATTTAGGCTTAGACTCGGCACTGCTTGGGCATCGGGAAGAGACGCAAGGTCATGCCCAGGTTTGCTTGTTTTGGCTTGGATAAAGATCTCTTGGTCTAAGCCTGTACGCAAAGCCCCCGCACTCTAAACCGTAATTCCATGTGGGTGGATGTCAAAATTTTGGTCCCCTTTTGGGTCCTTATTATAGTACGGCACCTAATATTTAGAGTTCCCCAAAAAGGATCATAATTTTGACAACCACCCATGTCGGCACGGTAGCTGTCCGTTTCAGATGCACAGGTGGTCAGGAAGGGATCTCCCTCCTAAAAGGATAATATGTCCGAAGTCTTGGTTTGCGCCCGAAGCCCTAAACCCCTGGCCTCAGACTTAGACTCCCTTCACACAGAGAGAGAGAGAGAGAGAGAGTGAGTGAGTGAGTGAGTGAGTGAGATGCCCAGAGGCTTTGGCAGCTTTAGCATTTAGCCACTGGCTATAAGCGTGGTCTCTCAACACCCAGGGCCGCCGGTCTCATATCGCTGTCGTGGCAGGGCCTTCATCTCTGGCAGCCACGACACCAAATGAAGAGATGGGAGTTTCCGAAAACTAGGGGTACCTTATTTGGGGGGTCCTTGTAATTAGGATCCTACTATTTAAGGACCATATTTGTGTCCCCAGTTTTCGGAAACTCCCATATGAGATGTGCGAAGAGCTAGCCGAGTTGCACCTTGTCAGGATACACCAAAGACCACCGTCACCAACAACCTTCCCACCAGTTTCCTGGCAGCCAAGAAGTCAGCTTTTGTTGGAGGTGTTCTGTCTGGTTTCCAACAGCTCTCAAGCTTTAAACCCCTACACTTACTACTACTACTACTACTACTACTACTACTACTACTACTACCTCTACTACTACTACTACTATACTACTACTACTACTACTACTACTACTACTACTACTACTACTACTACTACTACTACTAGCACTACTAATACTACCCTACTAGCATAGCTTATACTACAGGTACTACTAACACGAATAATACTAGGAACACTAGGAGTGCTACGAATGCTATTATACGACTAATAATCCTTAAGAACGGAAGTCCCTAAACCCAAGCCCGACTTATCAAGTATTCGTTGGGAGGTTGGGGGGTTAAAGGTCTCTTTCCCAGTCTGGGAATCAACGCCTTTGTATGGTGATATAGGTACCCCAACGCGAAACCTGAAACTCAAAAACTCAGCACAAGGTCACATACACCAAGTATATGCTCTAGAACCCCCAGACCCCAGTTCAAACTATCAAGGCCCCTTGGTTGGGTTTTACATGGCTAGTTCTAGGAGGAGGCTGTGTGTAGGGTGCATTGCTTTCGGCGTCGGGGCCCCGGAGTTGCAGCATCTTGGCTGTTAACCCTAATCCCTAAAACCCCAAAACCTTGATGTGCAGCTGCACGGTCGTGTACTTTAGTTGTGCTGGCTCGTGTGCTGCTCGAGTGGAGTTTGAAGCGGTTGAGAGTTTCTTTTACGACGACGCTCTTGGGACGTGCGATGCATACTTGAGTGTCGTGTTGTCTGTCGTGTAGGCCTCAATGAGGCAGGCTGACGCTGCACAACAGAAAAGGCCGCTGCACCTTAAAAAAAAAAAAAAACTAAACGGGGTGCCATAAGGGTTCCTGTCAGGGCTCTATAATCAAGATCTCCAAAGGTCCTTTCATGAGGATCAACCAGGGCTTTATACTCAGGGCTTATAAGGGCTCTAAAGAATCCAGGGTTTAGGGTGCAGGGTTTAGGGTTTAGAAGGGATTTGCAACCCTTAGCTCCAATTCGAATCTTCAAACCGAAACCCTAGCCTGAAGCCCTCATGCCCAGACTGTGACCCTTGAACCCGAAGTCAGACCCCTAAGCCTTGAAAGGCTTCCAAGACATGTTTCAAATCAATGCTGCGGTGATGGGCTTCAGCCGCAGCTCCAACACGTGGATGCCGGTTGTTCTCGAGGCCATCGAGCGCATCGTCTTGTTCCTGGGCCGAAGCACATTCTAGTGCTCAAAAACAGGGCTTCTGACTTTCAGGTTTCTGAAGGCTTTTACAGGTCCCATTCCAAACATTCAGGCTCCTTTGTTCAAAATAGCGTAACCTAACCCCTGGCAAGCCGCACATCCCCCGCGGTGCCTTGATGCTGCGGGTTTCTTCCGGTGAAGGAAGCAGTGAGGAACTCTCAGAGCTTTACTTGGTCGCCAATGGTCAACACTTGTATATGGGGTGGTTTGGGCGTCCAGGTAAGCCGTCAAAACCCGTAAAGCCCTAAGCCCAAGACTGATGAGCTTAGCTGGAGGTGTATGGCGCAACAGGCAGGAGCAACCGGAGATACTACACTGTCAGCATCCTATCGTTTTTGATGCTATATCTGGGGTGTTGCTATGCTGTAAATTAGCAAGTACACAACAGCTCAGGAACAGCACCTGTAATATAGGGGCCTTAATAATTACAATAGGGTTTTGGGGCCTATTATACTATACCATACTTATAATCAGGACCCACAATACCATCTTCTTCAACAACCGGGCCCCAAAAAGTTCACAGACTTTCTAAGATAGAGGTAACATATACTTATATAATAGGGACCCCCCCCAAATAGTATTATGTTACTCAGAGCATCAAGGCTCCCTAACAGCTCCAAAGCCCATGCATTTAGGGTTTAGGTGGTCTAGGGTTAAGGGTTTAAGGCTTAGGGTTTAAAGTTTAGGGTTTAAGGTTTAGGGTTTAAGGTTTAGGGTTTAGGGTTTAGAAGCCCGTGCTCAAAAAGGGTTTAGATGCCCGCAAGGGTGCGTATTGTGCGTACTTAGCCTCAGCATCTCGCCACGAGTGCGATGTGCTTGGGGATTCTGGCCGGGCGAGCACTAATCAAGCCTGTGGAAAAAGATGCCTGCAAGGCATGTCAGTAGCGCGAGCCGCATACGCGAAGAAGTGGACATCTTGGCCCTGCGGTTGCAGAACTACGTTCCTGGCCTGACTCTCTCGGAATTCAAGGCGCCTTGATTGTAGGGATGGTGGAGTTGATTTTTTGTAGAAATCTGTATAGATTAAGGAAAGGTGGGATTTCAGTATCCCTTTATAGTGGAATCTCTTCTTTGCTTGTAGTTGAAGGTCCTCAATCTGGGAACCTCTATTGAGGGACATCTCGCATGTTCCAGAAATCACCAAAACCCGAGACATCGACATTGCAAAGCTTGCGCGTTCATAATTATGTAGATTGGGCTTTGGAGTTCGCAGCTAGATGGGGGTTCGGGCATGATACGGTAGCATGTTTTCAGGAATTTCAGGGGATGACGGGCAGATTGGCGATTGAAAAAGGGGGCCGAAAGCGACGTGCCGACGAATTCAGACGTCGGCACTACATCGCTCCCCCCTCACCCAGCGCTTTCAAAGACTCGGGAAGAGACCAAAGACTCCAGCAGTCCAGAGATCTCTCTCTGCAGTAGGGAACTCAGTCTTATAGTTAGAGTAAATCCCATAAAGTTGGAAACCGGGTGAAGGCCAAATAGTGCTCGGGTTCCCTATACATTACTCTTCAGGATTGAGGCTATGGGGGGTTTCCAACTTTTGGGCTGCTACTGTAAGGTTCCCATTCCCTAAGCCCTCTTATCTGGAAGTGCAGGGTCAGCCTTATGAAAACGGATCCGAGAAGCCTAGCAACCCAAAGCCGTAAAGTGCCTCTCCAACCCAATCCAGGCCCTAACACCTGCACCCCAAGACTGCCTCCAAAAACCGCAAGATTCCTAAAGCCACAAGACTCCAAAACCCTGAAACCCTGCACCCCAAGACTCTCTCCAAACCCTAAACTCTGAAGCCCCAGACCCCCAGAATCTGTCTCAACCCCTAAACCCTCCACACTGAAACCTTAGACTCTCTCTCTCTCTCTCCCTCTCTGACCCTCAGCCGGAAGCCCTAAACCCTGAAACTCTGAACCCCAAGACTTTCCTTAAACCCTGAACCCCAAGACTTTCCTTAAACCCTAAGTATTAAGCACTCTCGCAGGCATGTTTGCTGGCCGCACTCCGGTCCACGCTGCCGCAGGTTTGGACGCCGAAGCACGAGGAGCCTTCGAACCGGAATCCTTCAGTGGTAGGCTTCATTCGTTCATATGTCTGTCTATATAACATGTGTATATATATATATGTAAATAAGGAGACAGAGAGATGTATTTATGCACATATGTATGTATAAAAGTGTGTATATCAGCAGTATTTCCGTCATATATTACGACATAATCCTGCATGAAGATTAAAGGGCATTCGTAAGTAGGAAGCTTATATAGTACGGCAAAAAATCAGTGCACGTTCTTGTGATCGCTTGAACTGAATCTCGAGCTTTTCGCACAAACGAAGCGTCGGACACCTGAAGCCTCGCCATGTTTTGACGCACTGACTACGTGCCCAAATGGGAGTTTCCGAGAATATGGGACCCTAATATAGTACCCTAAATAGTAGGATCCTATCGAAAATCCCAAATCTACAGAGTGAGTTCAGGGGTCTGCAGATTGCTGCACTGAACCCTGCATCCAAAATCTACAACCCAAAAGTTTGTGGTCCCTACACTACTTTCAAAGCCTTCAACCCACGCTTTTGCAATAGCCATCCTTTTTGTGGCCTGCGGAGTTTGTGACAGAAACTGCCAGATGTCTTTACTCAGATCTGCAAGGCTCCAGGGACTACATACAAGCATGGCATCCTTCGCAAGCACACGTTCCTGTTGTCGAAGCTCCCTTGCCCTCAGGCTCTAAGGTCTGATAGTGTAAGGTATTCGGGCTTAAAGAGACCATACTACACAAGGCTTTGCGGTTATTTGGAGTTTTAGGGTTTTATGGAGGTCCAGAGACCAATCCGAAGCAACCCCCAACGCCAGCCCTCTCGAAGCCTCACCCCAAAGACCCTGCCATCCCAAAGCCTAAACCCTGGCCCGGAGGGTTTGCCGATCAGAACTCATGGTTTTTCCCATGCCCTCCCCCCTTTGTCTAAATAGGGGTTGGGTAGCACCAGGTGTAAAACCTTACCGTCCTTACATTGCCATGCTATGAATACCACGCCGAAATCTTATTCTCACTCTGGCCAGGAAGGCCCCTAGCCTAGCCCGGTCTTGTTACCCTCCAGGCGGCTTGGGGATTTCTTTGGGACAATGTGGTGACTTGGCTGGACTTTGTGAGACAGCGGTCCAGAAGCTGAGAGTTCGGGGATTTGCAGCTAGGAATGTCGGATTTTTATTCTGTGCGTTGTCGGAGTTCGGGGTTTACTTACTGAGTTCTATGTGTCTACATGGTTGAGTTTACAGCTTAGAAGCTTCCGGGTCGAGGTCAAAACGAGTGCTGGAGGTAGAAGACTCAAAGCTATAGGGCTTCAGAGAGTAGAGTCTACTTGGAGGTTCATGGCTAGTTATAAGCAGGGTTATGAGTGGGGTAACTATATACTTCTGACCCATATTGGGGAACTTATAACCCCACTTATAAGTACCCGTGAACCTCCAAGTAGGATCTAAGAGTTTGGAGTTTAGGGGTGTTGGTTTACGATCCCGCTGCAGGCGTAGACTCCGAGGGGTTAGAAGCTCAAAGCCCTTCAGCGGATCTTGGAGGAGCACTGGCCTTGGCAATAGCCTTCGAAGATCTTGCGTGTAATATAGGGGCGTAGAACTGAGTTTTGGAGCCCATTACGCTCTGATTGTAATAAGGAGCCCCCAAAAAATGGTATAGTCAGGCAATGATTAAGACCCCTTTCTTACAAACCTGGCACCCCCCCCCCCCCTCCCGGAGCTACGGGTGCATCCCGCACCTGAAGCCCGAAACCGGATAAATTCATAGGGACCCTTAGGGGGAGGGGGGTGGGGGGCCTTACTATCCATGATAAGATAAGGGCCCAAAAACAAGGCCTAGTTAAGGAAGTATAGTCCCCTACTCCCCTCCCCCTTAACCCCCCCATAAGGGCCCCTTTGATAAATCCAGATCCCGAAGCATCATTCTGTACTGTAGAAGCCTAAATACTTACCAATACAACTCCTCAGGTTTCTTTCTTATACACGTGCGAGAATATGCACCCAAAGCCTACTGAATCTATTCAGGTCCATTAGCTACTTAATCGCGGTTCGAGGGAGTCGTAGAACCGACTCCCTCAAAGGTCTGAGCACCAAACGCCTTGCTTTTCTCAGCAGTACCCTTGCCGTTCGCGTTGCTGTTTTGGGTTTCTCATGACCAGATCTATACAGCCCTGGGTGGGTGGCAGGGTGCATGGATGTCGGAGGCGTAGGATTTAAGGACAATGACTTGAATTTCGATTCTTGATCCCTGCCAGGATGAGAGGTGCTACCTCAACCCAACACCGCATTCCTTCGACTCACGATCCTGAGGTGAAGATCGTGAATGTGAACATTGAGCGGACGTCCTCCTACGAGCCGTCCCTGCCCCTCGGAGGACTTCTGACAATTCCTTGCCTGTGGTTCGTTGTTACAGTAGTGTAGGAACCTGACTAAGAAACCTTGGGCCTTTGTCAGGGCTCCTTATCTGAATCCTCCTATTTTGGGTTGTAGGCCCAGGGGTTCTTAATCAGGTTCCTACATTAGTTCTGTGCTCCAGGTACCATCATGCCTGCGCAGACATAGTCCCTTCTACTAGGTGCTACTTCTACGAAGGTGGTTACGGTTTAGGGGTTTAAGGGTTTAGGGTTTAGGGTTTAGGGCTTGGTTGGGGGGGGCGTTTCTTTTTTGTTTCTGGGAGGGTTGCGTCCTGGGTCTTGAACTGCAGAGGTCCCTATAAGAGCGGTCATATGGGATTTTCCGAAAATTAGGGGTTACCTTTTAGAGGGATCCTATAAGGGTTCCTTTAAAGGGATTAGGGTTTAGAGTTTCCGAAAATTAGGGGCACCTTATTTGGGGGTCGTTGCAATAAGGAGCCTCCTATTTAGGGTACTATTTCAGGGTCCCCTATTTTCGGAAACTCCCACATTGGTTCCGAGGTGGCTGTCGCTGTCTTGAAGCCTGTAACTCCGAGTGCCCTTGAACCTGCGGCCTCAAATTCCAAGCTCCTCAGCACTGAACCCCTATCTCTAACCCGTAATTACAGCACCCAAAAGGTCCAAGTAACAGTATAGTATATACCATGGTTCGCCAAATATTTTCTGAGAACCTACTGTATTAGTACTTGCACCCTTTGGGAGTTTTCAACCTACGTGAAACTCAGGTCCGGCGTCTATGACGCCATGTCCGCCGGACGCTTCTTGAAAATCAAGAAGGAGTTCTTCACGGCATTTTTCGAGGCCCTGGAGAGTAATTAGGGTTTAAAGGGATGGTGTTTACTGCGTAAATAGTGATATTACATAGTGTTTCTTTCCATCACCGCCAGCTTTTGTTGCTTACACGGTTATTTTGGGATCTGATCAGGTGCTGTAGACTGCCTTCGGTGGGCTCTATAGCATCCTTTGTTCCCTGGCCCTTGTGTCCCTGTAACTATAACCGTTATTCATGAATGCCACCATTTCTGCATGTTTGCCTGTAGCTTGGAATTCCTAGCTCCTGACAGAGGGAACCTTAAACCAAGACAGTTCAAGCACACTCATTTGGCTAAAGTGAAGGGGATTAGAAATCGATCGCCTTTCATATCTAAGACTACTGTATGATGACTTCCGCAAGCCGTGGAAGCAGGCTCCAAAAGCGCCGAAAAGCTTGCTCCCTCTGCCCAGGTGGCGCCTGTGGGCCAGAACTACTTTAAGCAATCTCTGACCCGTCTCCTCTTCATCGCAGACAAGGTGCTGTTCTTTTCCTTGGAGATGTTGCTTGGTCTCTTTAGGCTTTCCATCGGTGTCGGCATCGGGTTTAGCGGCCTCACAGCTAGTGATGAGCTCTTCTCCTAAAACCATAAACCCGAAACCCCTGCAACCTACTACGTTTGATGATATAAATCCTGCATTGCCCATAATAAGGAGTATACCATAATCCTCATAGTTTATGGTCCTCAAGGTGATGCAGGGTTTGTATCGTCAACAGCATGACCAGAACTCCACGAAGCGCCCTCGCTCCGAACTCGCTGATGCAGCGTGTCAGGCACTCGAAAAAACTAGGGAACTTAGTAGCTGAGTAGGTAGCCTTCAACATTTTCGGGTTTATGGAATCCTACCATAATTGAATTGTTGGGCTAGGGTACTCAGCCCCTACGGGAATGATAATGGTTGCCTGACTTACTACCACTACTACTACTACTACTACTACTACTACTACTACTACTACTACTACTACTACTACTACTACTACTACTAATACTGCTACTACTACTGCTACTGCTACTGCTACTGCTACTACTGCTACTACTGCTACTACTGCTACTACTGCTACTACTGCTACTACTGCTACTGCTACTGCTACTGCTACTACTGCTACTACTGCTTACTAGTACTGCTACTACTGCTACTACTGCTACTACCCTAAGCCCTAAATTAAACCCGGGATTTAGGATTTAGGCTAACTACTACCTCGGGTGCTTTCGCTGTTCGGTTCGGGTTGCAAAATCCTAAGCGATGGTACAAGAGTCGAAGGTGGAGGCCATGGGCGTTTCAAAAATTAGGGGCTTTTCCCTTGATTCCAGGAATCCCCGATATAGCTTTAGAGTTCCTGAAGTGGGGTGTAAGGCTTCAGTGCTTAGGATGTGGTAGAAGGGATTCAGTGTTTCGGGTTTAGGGCACAGGTTGAGACGTTTAGGGTTCCGTTGCGCAAAGCGGGTGCTATCACGAAACCAAACCACAAGGTAAACCAATGCTCTGCAGGAATCCAGAGCCATTTCGACGCTTTTGCAACCTTCCCAATTCCCATCCCTAAACAGCTTAAACAATGGAAGACCCTTCCACGTGCATACATGAATGCATATGTAAGAATCCCTCCCTCCATCCCTCCCTTCATGCCGCGCTCCATCCCCCTCCATCCGTCTCCATCCTTCCCTCCATCCGTCCCTCCATCCGTTCCTTCATCCGTCCCCATCGTCCCTCCTCCATCCGCCCATCCATCCATGCATCCGCCATGTATGATCATGTATCCGTGGATACATACGTACACATATACACATACACACCCGCATGTATTTGCATGCATATGTACATGCATGTTGTACATATGCAACCACATGCACATACTCACATGCACACATTCGTGTGTGTATACATACATATAAAGGTCCATATCTACATATACATACATGTATTTCTGTCTCTGTGTGTGTGCGCGCCTCGGTATTTGTTCAAGAGGAAGGCAATCTGTACATACAGTAACCCCAAGGGTCCAAGTACTTGATAATCATATACTCTCCAGAACCCTAACCTACATAACTACTATCCTAAAACCGAGTACCTGATTATTGGGTCCTTTGGACCCTTGGAGTAATGCCTGCACGGTCTGTTTGTCGATCGACTCAGGCTGAGGCAACCCAAGAAGATGGTGTCGGAGATGTCTGCGCTGGGGCTGAAACACGTAGGTTTCGGCATCCCCACTGACCTCTTCACTCCCTTCATCAGTGCGACTCAGATTTGCAAGGATGTTAGGGTGTGCAGGGTGTTTAGGACACAACGGTGTGCGATTCCAGGTTGTAGGCTTGGGAATGTTGAATAGGAAGCTGGGCGTGGAGTTCAGGTTTGAGAGCAAGAGCTGTGACCCAAAACACTGCCTTGACTTCAAGAGTCACACACATGATGCTGCAACGACACGCGCCGACGTTGACAACAGTAGCAACAACGAAAAAACACCAACAGCAATAACAACGGTAACAGCAGACACACTTAAACGAAAGCGAGCGCTGCTGCTACTTCTGATGCTGCCGCGACTGCTACCTGCTACTGGGACCGTCACCACCCTACCACTAAAACTGCTACAAGGACGATGGCGATGACGACGGAGCCCGCTCACGACTGACAAAAAGAACCAACCCAACAATGATAGATCGAGCGAAGCTGGTCTAGACGGTAGTCTCGAGACAGCCCTAAAACCCTAAACCGCCCTGAACAACAAACCCGTGAAGCCTAATCCCGAAAAAGGCCGCAATGCTCAAAGCTATAAGCTGCAGTCCTGACTCAGAAGGCTTGCATCACGGTCTTCCGTCGCCTCAGCTATCAAACGCCAGATGGCAAGGCAGTGGGGATTTGATGGCCTTTAGGACTTTAGGGTTCTAACATCATAAGATGGACGTTGTATCGAGCCCTATTCAGAGGTTATTTCTGGATGAAGGTCCATTTTTGCGAATGTGTGCCTATGCAGTTCTGTACAGAACACTCCATGTGCCGCTTTAACTCTAAGCCCAAAACTATCCCAAACCTACCGCCTTCAACCCTTAAACCCCTAAACCCCCAAAACCCCTAAAGCTTGATGGGAAGTTGGAGTTTACGGGAATTTCTCAAACTCAGGACCCCAGTCTGAATCCTCTTCGGTTGAGATAGGGAGGCTTTGGGGGGGGGTAGGGGGGAGGGGGATGGGGTTTAGGGGCCTTATTCAGTCCTCATTTTAGGCATTAAGGCCCCCTACCCCCCTGCCCCCTACCACCCTAAGGGTTTCTATGAGTAAACAGCACCGCCACTGGCCCGTCCTCCCCCACACTAGACCCAAAACCCTAAAACCCTAACAAACCATATATCCCCCCCCCACCAACCCCCAAAACCCTGAACAAACCCTACGCCCAAAGCCTCTTGCAGCTTCCTTACCCTGGCCTCCCGCATCGATCAGGCTTTTTCAGGTGACTTGTTTCAGGGACCAGGCCAACTTCCTCCAAGCGCTACCTATAGTCTCCATTGTAGCTCCTTTTCTAAAGGTTAACCACAAAGTTTATCATAGGATCCCAACCACAAAACTGGTTAACCAAAAAAAGCGGAACTACAATGGAGACTCTAGGTAAAGCCTTAATTATACCTCCAATACCAGACCCAGGCCCCAAGCCCCATACCCGAAAGCCCTAAACCATGCTAAACCCCTGAAAGCCTAAACCCTATAAACCCTAAAACCCTAGACCCTAAACCCTATAAGCCCTAAAACCCTAAAGCCCTAAACATTGTCAGACACCCCCCCCCCATATGCCTCGCCGGGATTGTCCGAGTGCGAGCGCCGAAACCCTAAACCCTATGAACCTGAAAACCCTAGATCAAAAACCCCCTAAGCCCCAGATCCTGAAGCCCTGAGCCCTCAAACAGGCGAAAGAAGCTTTCGAATGGGCCATCATCTTAGTCGCGAGAGTTCTGGTCCGTGCGATCAAGGACTCCTTGGGTTCCAGCGGTTCTAGTCTTTTAAGGTTTGGGGTTCAGAGAGCCCTCGTTAACAAAGTTTGTAGTTTACATAAGTATATATACATATGTATGTATATATGCATGTATAGATAAGGATAAGTCTATAACGGTTCATGTGTTTACAGGTTCTCAAGGGTTCTATACAGGTCACTTTACGGCTAAGGGTGTCTTCAGAGTTCTATAAACTGTTTTGCAAGGCTTCTCAGGTCTTGTGAGGGTTCCATGAGGGTTCTTTGGAGGGTTCCTGAAAGTGTCCTATAAGTTCAAGGAAGGGTTGTGGGTTTGATTCGCTGGGCTTTGGACTTAGGCTTGACGTGCCGAGTGCTACAGAACTCAGCTGTGTTGATGCTTTTGAGTTCGAACCGACTTAGAACGTATATGGGAGTGAAAAAGACGATGAGACAATGCCATGTTCACTGTGCGGCCCAAGCACAAAATTTGGCTTCGGGCGATTTTGCCTTGTGGCAGTAGTTTTGACACTGTCGGGCTGTAAGGCTTAGCAAGCAAAGAAAGGGTGCTTGGATCAACCAGGTGAACATCTGGTCCTGTACCGAAAATTGTGCTTATCGAGCTGGCCTGGAGGCTTTTTGAGATCATGCTGTAACAAGAAACCTCGACATTGTCACGAAACTACGTTGGAGGGCTTAGGAGTAGCATGACCCGCAAATAAACTGAAAACGCATGATGATCACTGCCATTAATACCTGGGAAACGCTTTTACTATGATGAAGTATTATGTACATTTGTTAGAAAGACATTAGTAAGGATTACTTTTAGATGTGTAGGGATCCAAGCAGTGCCTGACACTCCGCATGAATGAAGGAAGGCTCGACTGTCGTCATGACCGCCATCAATGCCAACAATGTCAAGGCTGCAGGGGCTCAGTTGTGTCCGCATTCCTCCGTACCCCCACAATCCTAAACCCATAACACGTGTGTATATATATATATATATGTATCTACCCAACAAAGAAATAAAGTAGATAGATAGGTTTGCAGATAGTCAGGTAGACCATCGCTACAGCTTGTCAATGTGTTCTGCTACCTACCTAACCCCCTACGCTCCTATATACGTGCGTATGCATAATGTGTCGGGTATGTACGTACATACACTTTATACCAGTTACAATGCCACACATACTATGTCGGACAATTACACTATATACCATATTATTGTTGTACACCAAAACCCCCGTTTCCGAGCCGTAATCAAGATTTCTGAGTGTTGGGGTTTAGGGTGTAGGATTTGAGGGTTTTAGGGTTTAGGGTGTTGGGAGCAATTCAGAAATCCAGCCCTGTACCCTCAATCCCTGACGCCACTTCAAGAACGTCGATCCCCGACCCTGTTTTGAGTCGCAGCCATTTCATCCAGGACTCCCCAAGTACCCTTTAATGGAGCCCTTACGGTCTTTAATCGTGGGTATTCAGGGCATATTGGAGGGTAGCTGGGGGGGGGGTCTAGGATGGGCTGGTTTTAGATTCAGATTGTTGCTCGGTGGTTTCATAGGATTGTAGTCGGCCAGGCTATTTTGCAGGTCATCCCTGTGTTAAACTGTCAGCTTCCTGTTCCTGCGATCCCAAAGATGATAACTGAAGCTTTCTTGCTTTTTTCACGGTCTGAACCATGACTTTTCAGAGTTTTGGCTTCGTGGTTTTAGCAGGACAGAGGTTTAGGTAGGGTCGCATGTTCCCTCGTTTCCACCGTGGCAGGGCTTGCAGAAAGCCCTTGCTGCAGCTCCGCGTGGGGAGCGCGCGACATGGCTACTGCATATCCAAGTCGGAATCCTGGCTTGCTTGATGTCACAGTGAGTCATTCCCCGTGTATCTAAGATAAACGGATAGATAGATAGACGGGTTAGGACGGTTAGGGGTGCGTATACATATAATTAGACATATATATATATATATATATATATATATATGCATATGCATGTATGTATAAGTATGTATGTATGTATGATAGACACTTCAAAAACAGCTTAGGACATCGGAAGGCCGTTTCTGCAATGATGGAAGAATGGACAGTAAACCCAGGTTTGCATACACTGCATGTACTTTAGATCGCATAGGCGTAGCCAAGGCTGTTGAGTTCAAGCTCTCTCTGTCTCTCTCTCTCTCTCTGTCCTTTTCTCTGTCTCCCTGCCTGTAACGGGCATGTGCATGCATGCACAAACCCAGAGAGAGAGAGAGAGAGAGAGAGAGAGAGAGAGAGACAGAGGGTTAGATAAACAATTAAGTAAATATATGTATATACACACACACATATATATATATATATATACATAGATGCATATGTACGCAGACACACATATGTGTGCACTATAGTTTCCCTCTCCACCTGATCAGTTCGGTTGATGCACTATTTGCCCTGCTTGGCAATGCAAAGATTAGCCTGAACCCGAAGCTGGAAACTCATATACGTGCCAGCATTCACGGGCCCACCTTTCCCCCTCGCTCCCATGTTGAGCGATATACGCCTCCTTCACATGACGTCCAAAAAGCTTTGGGGAGTGTGGGGATTTTGAAAATGACAGCCGTGTTGGTGTACTAGTAGGTTTACTTCATGCGGACCGCTCAAATGTAGGAGGGGTTGAGCTACAAACTCTGCTGCAGCATGGACCTTTGGAATTTCTAGTTCAACTCGGGTTGAATTGCCTAGTAGCTGAGTGGATACACTTTACACGTTTTGGGATAACATAACCCACTATAAAACTAAAAGTGCACACTTTTGGGGGCTTATGAACTCTGCAACTAAGATTGATATCATGAGCCGGCCCAAGGAGACCAGTTCATCTCCCCCTTCGTTTGGGCGTTGGAGAATGGCAGCGAGACGATTTGCCATGCCATGCTGAAGGATTTGCTGATGATCCGTGCCGATCGCTCCCTGTACACTGACTTGCACCGTAGCACGGGTTTGTGGCTGTCTGTCCGAATACAAGAGTTGCTATGAGAACAGAACTGTAGGTGTGAAGATGACGGAGCGAAAAGTCAGAATGTAGTTGATGCACTTCTTTCGTGCTGACCATCATCGAGCACTCGGCGGATGCGCAAGCTTGACCACATGATAACACCATGCCTACACGAGCCGTGTCCTTGGTTACGGAAATGTGCCCGAAAGCAACTGTCCAATTGCTGCTTCGGCCGTTCCTGTTCACCGAAACCGGTTTCTTTGCCCCATGTACGGGACTTTGAAGGAATTCTGGCTCAGGCGGGCTTCGGCTTATCCGGGGAATGGTCGAACTTCTGGCCACGGCCTGTGCAATTGAACAGACTCAAAGCAAGAATGACGAACAAATTATAGGCACTGATATATGAATAGAAAATATTTCAACTTGAAGAATACTGTAATGAAAAATGCTACATATACTTACATATATGCCGATGTGTATGAATACGGCACATAGTATATTTTCTGGATGAGAGGCACTGCATCCGCAGTCAGAATCATAATACGAGTACGATCAAAGAGGGCTACTAGGGAGCCAGAAACCAATAGCCTGCGCCCGCAACCTTCGACCCCTTTGGAGTTTACGTTTCAGGCCCTATTGGGTTTAGGGTTTAGTTTTAGGGTTTACCGTCTAGGTTTTAGGTTTTAAGGTTTGGCACACAATCCAAGCCCATGCTGAATAAGGTTTTAAGGTTTTTGGGGTTTACTGAATGCACAGTCACAGTGGCACATGCAACGAAGCATGTACCCTTATCCATCCGGGACGATGGCTTCACTTTCGCCTTTAAGGTGGAGATTGGGGCATCTGTAAAGGACACGAATTAATCACAAGCATAGCCTTTCTTGCTGATATTGCTGCAACGCCGCAAACCTTATGAAGGTTTACTTGAAGGTTCATGGGTAGTTATAAGTAGTCAGTAGGGTAACTATACTTACATCCCATATTACGGGACTTATAACCCACTTATAACCACCTCCGAACCTCCAAGTAGGATTCAGGGTTTATCGTCTACGGACCCGTTGTAAACCGTAAACCCAAAGCCCGAAGCTCTAAGCCGAGGTACTACTACGGCGCCGACGAGCCGCAGCAGCAAGGAGACGTAGGATGAGGCCCTCAACCCTAAATCCTAAATCTTAAACCCTAAACCCTCAACCCTAAACCTTAAACCCCAAACCCCTAAACCTTAGGGGTCGGAATGATTTTTGAGAATATGTGCCTAGAGTCGGGCCAAGAGTTTCTCGGATGTATTTATTAGTGATATCCCCTTAGAAGTCTCCACGTAGTTAAAGTATGATGTGCCATCCCACACCCGTTAAAGCCCTGCCGTTACGTTTCGATTCGTTTTATCTGCACCAGCTTCAGCACCCCACGCCCGCAACTTTTTAACATCTGCTCGATGCTTTTAAGCTTCCCGAGAACTCTAAACGCTTCCAGCGGCCCTGCGCGAAGATCTGATACTTTATGCTCCATGCACATTTTGCCCGTTCGGGCAGGTGGAGCTTTCATGTGTATATACGTCGTCAGGGGCTCAAAGGGTTTCAGGTTTTGTGGAGTTTCGAGTTAACCAGTTGTCACGTTCCTAGCTAAGGAGCTGTTTGCAAAGCATCAAGACGTGGTCAAGCGGCTGACTGATCGCACCCCTGCATTGCTGCGCACCTTGTTGGATGGTCTCGTGTGGAGATCCCAGCGCACAGAAGCCAACGGCACGTTACGGCGGGTAAACTACTTTGTGAAGCCACTCGGCGGTTCATTCGTACCAAGTATACAAATAGTACCTACTTTGGGATCTAAAGTCTATAAATACGGTTGATGATATAAATCCTGCATGACCTTAAGGACCCTAAACCATGGGAATTATGGTATATTCCTTATTATGGGTAATGCAGGATTTATATCATCAACAGTAGGACCTACTTTGGGCTATTTGGAGCCCCAGGGGTATGACTAGAAGTTGCAGTAGCAGTAGCTGTAGCTCCCATCGTTAGTTCTGGGGTTGAGCATTCGGACAAGCGGATGATCCGGTTGTAAGGTTTGATTTCGCGAGTTGATGGTTTAGAGTTCGTGTTCTTTGCCTGCTACAAAGAATCATGCATGTGAAGCCAGAAGTAGTTGACCTCGCATAATTCGTGCAGGTCGCCGGTGTCAAGATCCGACAACTGCATCCCACAGCCTTGCAGCCAGAAATTCCTGAGGTATGTTCTCGAAGATGCGAAGGGCAAGTTCTCTCCGTCTTTGCTGCTGGGCTGTCGCAATTTTGTTCCGTCCAAGGTTTCACAGCGGCCCTTCTCCGTTTTCGCCTTTGCTCACTCTAGAGGCAGCCTAAGGGGAGCCCTCAATCGGAGCCTCAAAAAACTAGTATTAGTACTACTACTAGTACCAGGACTACTACTACTACGACGACTACTACTACTGCTACTAGAAGAAAAACTAGTACAAGTGCAAGTAGTACTCGTACTAGTGCTAGTAGTAGCAGCAGCAGGGGCAAAAGCAGGAGCAGGAGTCACCCCATTCCTGATTAGGACAAGACATTGTGAAGGAAGAGGAGCAGTACTACCAGGAGGTTCTTCGGTAGTTGTAAGTGGGCTTATGAGTCCCCTAATATGGGTTATAAGTGTAGTTGCCCTACTTTTCACCCTACCTATACTATAGCTACCCTAATCCCTACTCCATAAACCTTTTAACAATATAGATCCGTTTTAAGGACTACCCACGAACCTCCAAGTACTAGAAGTAAAGGATGCGGAAGACTAGAAGGTCGAAGCTCCCCAGCCTTCCGTGCACGGTCCCCTACACCGAAACCCAAAAAGTTCATTTGGGGTTCAAGTTTAAGGGTTTAGGGCTCATGGTTTAGAGGGTTTAGGGGTTTCGGGCGCTGGGTTCCGAGTTCAGGGGTTTCGTGGTTTGGCTGTGTAGGGTTGAGGTGTTTAGGTTTACTCAGTAGCTTGAACCTTTTCGGGATGATGTAATCCTACCATTATTAGGCCAGGGTACTCAGCCTTCAAGCTAAGGGCCTAAGCCTTAAACCCCTCAAACCCTATAAGCCCCATAAGCCGTAAATCCTAAACCCTAAACCTTTCAAGCCCCATAAAGCCTCAACCCCCTTAAACGTATAGTGTCCATCGTAGTTCCTTTTTTTGGTTTGCCCAATTTTATGGTTAGGATCCTATAATGTCGTTGTTGGTTAGCTAAACAGCGGAACTATATACAATGGAGACTATAGGTAGATCCCTTTAAGGAACCCTATAAAAGGAAAACTCGGAAGAGCTCAAGCCCTATAAACCCTTTACCCTAAACCCTAAACCCTTTTAGCCCTATACGCCCTTTAAACCCTGTAGACCCCTTTTTGCTAAACCCCAAAAGCCCTAAATCGGAAAAACCCTAAACTCTGCTAGGTAGGAGGGAAAAAATCCCTAAACCCGACACCCTGACAAAAGGAAAGACTCGGGAAGAGCTCAGGAAGAACATTCTAAGGAACCCTATGAAGACCCTAAACCCTAAACCCTAATAAAAGCCCTAGATCCGAAGAGCTCAGGAAGAACATTTCGGCCTCTGGGGATCCGAGTATCGTCTCTCACCCCCTCGTCAGCGTCGTGGTAGAGCTTCTCTGGGCAGGTCAGGGGTTTTGGGGGGTTTAGGGTTTTGGGGGGTTTAGGGTTTTGGGGGGTTTAGGGTTTTGGGGGGTTTGGGGTTTTTGGGGGGTTTTGGGTTTTGGGGGGTTTAGGGTTTTGGGGGGTTTGGGGTTTTTGGGGGGTTTATGGTTTTGGTGGGGGGGGTTTGGGGGTTTAGGGGTTTAGGGCTTATAGTTTTGGGGGTTTAGGGTGTTTGGGGGTTTACGGGTTTAGGGGTTTTGGGTGTAGGGGTTTAGGTTTGATGCATTTTAGGGGGGGGTCCTTCTTGTTCGGGGTTCCTGTGTAGGTTGTGATGGGTTTCGCAATGCTTTTTGATGATGAGGGTATCGTAGGCTAGGGGATCTAAAGTTTTCAGTGTGCATGGCTTCGGTTCGGGATCGGGCTGCGGGGGCAATTGTCGCGCGGTTTGGAGCTTGAAATCATTGCGGCGTGGAGAACGGATCGGCAGGACAAGTTTCAGGAGAGTTCGGCTACTGTAGGTGGTGCTGGGATTGTGGCTTTAGGTTTCATGCCGAGTGGTGCAGAAGTATGTAGCTTGTAACGATCTTGGATGTAGCGGTTGTGTAGTACAGACAGACAGGCTTCGTTGTGAATGTGTCGTTCGCACTGACATGTCAACTCTCAAGGCACAAACCCACGCCTTAAACAAGTGAAGCCTAAACCGAAACAGGTGGCACCTCCAAACACTAAACCCCAAACTCCAAACCCCAAGCACCAATCACAAAACTCTAAACCCTACAAGCCCCATAGTAGTTCCTGTTCGGGATTACCTTATAGGATTCTATGTATGAACCACAAAAAAGAACTGCTTAGGGGCCGAAGCCCTAATCCCGAAACCCTGGCCCTAAGCCCTAAACCCCCGGACAGGATTCTGGAGGCTTTCTCGTAGAAGTCTCATAAGAAGCGTTTAGGGTTTAGGGGTTTAGGGTTTAGCCTCTGTCGGAGGCGTCGTGCGCCGTCAGTTCATTGTGTCCCGTATATGGAACATCCTCAACCTGATCATCTTCGTGATGGGGCAAGAGACTGGCTTCTGGAGCAAGTCACGCTTTTCTGTGTGCTCTTGATTAGCTCGTTTTGGGGACCACTCTAGCGCCGTAAACCCTATAAACTGCTCAACCCTCCACAATCCTCCACATAAGACCCCCAGGCCCAAATCTAACACCCAGCAGCGTAATCCCAAACCCGACCTTGGACCCCAGCACCCTAAACCCTAAGCGCCAGAAATACGGGTGTCGGCGACAACAGCAGTGCTATTCACTGTGACGCCGCTGTATGCCTTACAATATTCGGCAAACTCCAAAACTTCGTCTAAACAGTCCTTCTCGTTTCTACATAGTATATGAGCCCTACCCTAAAGCCCTCGAAGCCTGCTCGAGCCAGTTGTTGGTGATGAAAGCATACCAGAGCCCAGGAGATCACTCCGTCGATGATTGCCCACAATGGCCCCTCCAATGAGCTTTACAGCCTGCTGTTGCTCGGAAAGAGACCCAAATGGTTCTTGTAACATGCAAGAATTTGACTCATTTCTCATATTATTGCTCTGCGTTCCTTGTTATAGTTTAATGTACCCCAAAGCTTACTCGAATTATTCTGGCCCGCATTTTGTCCACACTTTCGGGTTTCGGCCTTTAAAGGAGAGGGTTAGTGGGTATGTGGGTTTAGGGTTTAGGGTTGTGTGTTTTTTATCAGGAGGGGGTCGGTTGGGTAATATTATTTGACAGTGAGCGCTGCAACACGTGGCAGAGCAGGTGCTTTGGTAACACGGTACTGGTTGGGGCTGCATAATCATCAAGACAGTGTTTTGTCGTTTTTTGCTGACCCGAGCTGACGTCAGGTTCTTCTTTCGAATGTTCAGCTACATTGTGGGCATGGGTAGGCTGCTGATGCTGCAGCTCCACCGCGTTTGGATCTGGTCCCGAGACACCATGCGCCGCATCATTGCAGACATCGACACGGATGGCAATGGAGAGATCGACTACGAGGACTCTCAGCTCCCGATACCCCAAACCCATACCATAACATTGCTACTTGTAGCCGTTCATGCCAAGTAGGCCCATCTGATGCAGTCGATAGGCTCTTGAAAGGTGTGCTAACAGACTAAACTCAGCAGTTGTTGTCCTAGTGAGGTTTCTGCAGGATGGAAGGGTTTGCTACAGGCTGTTCAGTCCATTTTGGTCCGGGGTCTTGGTGACAAGGACTGTCACTGTTGTTGTTGTTGCTGTTGCTGTTGCTGTTGCTGTTGCTGTTGCTGTTGCTGTTGCTGCTGCTGTCGCTGTTGCTGGTAGTGGTGGTAGTGGTGGTGGTCGTGTTGTCGTTCTCGCTCTCGTTGTGGCTGTTGTTGTGGTTGTCCAAGTCAGGAGCAGGTCGCCAAACCCACCCGATTCACAAGGAAGGGTTGGGGGAAATGAAGCCAAAACGGTGAACTAATAATTCTCACACGGAAACATTCCCCAACGGGACAAAGGGTGAATTCCCTGAAGTCTAAAGCCAAACACACCCAGCTACAAACCCCAAACCCTAAACCTCGTGAGCGCAGAAACCCCTAAACCCTAAACCCCTAAACCAAAAAAGCCCTAAATCTCAAACCCTAAACCGCTAAAACCCTAAACCAAAAAAGCCCTAAATCTCAAGCCCTAAACCGCTAAAACCCTAAACCAAAACAGCCCTAAATCCCAAACCCTAAAAAGTGGGGTCTTCGACCTCGGCAGGCGAAGACAAGTGCATCTATCGAACCTTGCACACACCCTAAACCCCATAACTGAGAAGGGGCCCCCACCCTGTAATAGTGGTATAATAGGAATATAATAGGGCCCTAATATAATCCTATATAACCCTTATGGTCACTATTACAGGGTGGGGGCAGCTTCTAACCCATAACGGTAGCCATCCGACCCGATCAGCGGTTCCTCTGTCGAGCCAGTGTGCGAGTCGAAACCCTTTATAGAAAACATGCATCGTATTACCTTTCTTAGTAGCCCTGAAAACGCTAAAATATCATGAGCAAAGGAGATATAATGCACTTATAGAGCCCTCATATTTCATAGAACCCCTGTAGAACCCTTGTAGCAATACTTTTGATACCCCCCCTAAACACTTAAACCCTGAACCCCTAAACCGTAAACCCAAATTAATCCCTACAGCCTAATCCCTAAACCACTTAAGGGTACCATGAACCCCCCTATAGATACCTTAAAGAGTATCCTTAAAGGACCCCCCCTGAAGGAGATGAAAGGCCCCTCAACCCCTCAACAACCCTTACATCTAGCAAGCCTTATTGTACCCTGAGGGTAGCAAACACTCAACCCTAGTCCCTAAACCCTAATCCCTCAACCCTAATCCCTAAACCCTAAGACCCTAAACCCTACACCCCTAAACCCTACACCCCTAAACCCTAATCCCTAAACCTTAACCCCTAAACCCTAATCCCTAAACCCTAATCCCTAAACCCTAATCCCTAAACCCTAATCCCTCAACCCCAATCCCTATACCCGAATCCCTAAACCCTAATCCCTCAACACCCCCGCCCCGCCCGAAGGAGATGAAAGAGGCGTTATCGCGCTTCAAAGACACCGTGAAAGGGGAGATCCGTTCCTCGGATCATCGGAGGGGTTGAGCTTTAGGGGTTTGAGGGTTCCTTCAAAGTGATCCTTAAATGGGTTCCTTAAAGGGATCCATAAGGAGTTGCGGGGGGTTTGAGATTCTAGGGTTCAGGATTTAAGTGTTTAGGGTTTGCGGACATAATTACGAGCATTTTATAGGGATGTCCCTACCTTCTTGGGCTTCATTTCAACCGGGTTTGAATGGGATGTTTCTATATTGAGTATTGGGCCGAGGGCTTTGAGTTTAGGGTTTCGGTTGTTAAGGTTTCGGGGATTTAGAGTTAGGGTTTAAGAACGGCCTCGAGTATTGGGTTGAGAGTTTGGAGTTTGGGGTTTGAGTTTAGGGTTTTGGGTGTTGGTGTTGAGGGTTTCGGGCAGACACAGGACTTTAAGGGTTTGGGTCGTAAGGGTTCGGCCAGTCTTACAAATCTTCTCGCTATTGGTGGTTGTTGTTGTTGTCGTGGTTTGCTGTCTTGTCTCGTGAGGGTTTTACAAGCTTACTTGAAGTGGTCTAAAAACGTTCCTCGGGTTAGGGAAATATGCATGGTACGTCTTCTCGAGACACAGGGTGGCCAATAGGGGATTTAGCAGAAAAGGCTTTTAGCAGGGAGTGGAGTGCCTCTGCTAGGGATCATATCAAGGATTGCCACCGCAAGCCCACGATGCTTAAAACCCTGTTGGCTTTCGACCATTGAGGGTGGAGCGCAGGCACGCAATCAAGGTTGTTTAGCGTATAGAGTGTGTGTTGTGGGTGTTTCGGTTCGGGGAACATCTCGATCTTGCAGTTCTACGAGTCATGATGCAGGACTTGCGATTGACGGGCCGGTCAGGACCCTAAACCCTAAACCCTAAACCCCAAACCCTAAACCCTAAACCCTAAACCCCAAACCCTAAACCCTAAACCCCAAACCCCAAACCCTACCCTAAACCCCAAACCCTAAACCCATGTTCTGCTGTGCATTTGGTGAGTGGATTAGGGTTGACTTTTGATGTCCTGCATCCCGGAGAGCGGCAAACTCCAAACTCAACCCCTAAACCCCTAAATCCTAAACCCCGAACCCTAAACCCCTAAACCCCTAAACCCCAAACCCTAAACCCCTAAACCCTGAACCCCAGGAAAGGCTTTGAAAGTGCTGCGCAATGACGAAGACCTCGAGGAAATGAACTCCGACAAGAAAGACCTGGCGAACCAGGAGACGGTAAGTTCGAAGGTTTAGGGTTTATATAGGGTTTATATAGGGTTTATATAGGGTTTATATAGGGTTTATAGAGGGTTGATATAGGGTTTATAGAGGGTTTATATAGGGTTTATTGAGGGTTTATAGAGGGTTTATAGAGGGTTCATATAGGGTTTATGTAGGGTTTATAGAGGGTTTATATAGGGTTTATTGAGGGTTTATTGAGGGTTTATAGAGGGTTTATATAGGGTTTATATAGAGTTTATATATGGTTTAGGGTTTAGGGTTTGGGGTTTAGGGTTTAGGGTTTAGGATTTAGGGTTTAGGATTTAGGGTTTGGGGTTTGGGGTTTAGGGTTTAGGGTTTCGGGTTTAGGGTTTAGGGTTTAGGATTTAGGGTTTGGGGTTTGGGGTTTAGGATTTAGGGTTTGGGGTTTAGGGTTTAGGTGCCTCAAGGGGTTCAAAAAGGGGGTCTAGGGTCCCTGGCATGAATTGCAAGTTGCGTCAATAGTTCAGACGCCTGGCTCGAAGATGTCCTAGGGCTCCAAAGCAGTTCCTTTTTGGGGTTCATATATAGAACCCCTATAAGGTAATCCCAAAAAGGAACTACTATGGAGCCTCTGGGTGAAGGCAAGAAGCAGCCCCAGGGCAATGTGCAACACAGCCCGTGCTCAAAAAATGGGTTTAGGGCTTTAGTAGGGGCTGGTGTTTAGGTTTCAGGGGCTTAGGGTTTCAAGGGGGGTTTCGGGTCCATAGTGGCCCAAGCAGTGGACCCTGAACAACGACATACACAAAACTGTTCTAGTAGCTGCGTGGATGCATCTTACGCTTTCTTGGATAATACTACCCACTAAGACTAAAAGGGTACACTTTCCCAAAGGGTCCAAAGTACCCATACAGTATTACACTACGGTTTAGTGTTCAGGGCCCGGTTACAAAAGGGTTTAGGATAATACAACCCACTACAAAACTAAAAGTGTACATTTTGTGGGGCTTATGACTCAGCAACTATGTAAGGTTTCAGGATCCAAGATGGTTTATATACAAGTCTGTGCAGAAAAGGGTGTAGGCAAAGGGTGGAGGAAGCTTGGAGAAAGTTGGGTCTTGTGGACGAATGGTGGTACATGAGTGCCCACTTGTTTTTTTCTCCAGAGCTTGCGATTGCTTGCAGTGATGTGTCTGCTCTCGGGGGCAAAGCACGGCCTGCCAACCCATTATGTGACACCCTGAACCTTACTACTATTTGCTTAAGAACCCCCAAACATAAATAAAAAATATATTCCTTTTGGAGGTAATATAGGGATTATTATTTTATTTTTTGGTGGTTTCTTAAGCAAATAGTAGCTTACATACAGGAGACATCGCTGCGACTGGAGCCCTCTGGCTCAAGGCTGCAGTCCGGGTAGCGGTAGGTCCTTTTCCCTCCTCGCCAGCGCTATGAGAGATCCGACTGCCGAAGCCAGGGTGCCTGGAAGAAGCGCGACAGATCCGAGTTGTTCGAGCTCCCGTATGGCAGAAGCTACAAGCAGTCATGCTGATGCTGCACCGCGCTCCTCAACCGCGGGAACCGAGCGACCATGTTTCAAGGGCAAGGTGGATGTCCTCGTGGCTGGCGGTTATGACTACGAGCGCTTTATCTTCCAGCAACATGCTCTACGATTGGGGGTTGACGATGCTTTAGAGTGTTGCACTTAGCAGGACTTCCGGGCAGCACTTTTCAATTCGCAGAGGTACAATAAAGAAGTTCCCCTTGTTGTCTTCCTTGGCAGCGAGTTGTGGTTGGAGGACCTGAAAAGGTATGACCTCAGGACACGGCCTCCCTTTGTGGTAAACATCGATGCGCGTGCGGCTAACAATCCAGACGCCTATCATGAGCACCTTCTCTCGTCATGCACAAGGGATGAGGTCGCAGCTTTGCTAAGCAGAGCTGCCGATTGCCGAAGCCAATCAGATAACGACAGTGCGGGTGCCAGTGCATCTTGAAGCAGCCGTGCTTTTGGACGTCTGGCGCTTGTCATACTGGTATGCAGGCATGAGATGCCCAGGCCAACGAATTCGCCGCTCCTTTTTCTTGCTCTTGAAGTGCTCACCTTCAACTTGGCAGCTTTTCAGACTTTTTTGTCGGAGCTCGGGCGTGGGTCATTGCAGCAGCTGAAAGTTAATGAGGTATTGCTGTCTTGTGTTTTGATTCCATATTTTGTAGCCCGATTTTGGACAGGGTGCACCCTGACTGCTGCATCTGTTCTACAGGGGGCTTAAAATTACCTATGCTATTCTGGGGCTTCTTTAATGTATGTATAAGTAGTTATAATGTACCGATATGCCCCAAAACCCTGTTCTAATTATTATTAAGGCCCCTAAAGGGGAGTTTCCGAAAACAGGGGACCCTAATCTAGTACCCTAAGTAGTAGGATCCTTATTATAAGGACCCCCAAATAAGGTACCCCTAATTTCGGAAACTCCCATATTGTCCGAAAGAGAACGCTTTCGGTCCCAATACCGGCTCACGTCTCGATCTTCTTGGCGATCTTCTGGTTGGCTCTTAGGACTTTAACTTTTTGGGTTTCTACATTAGCCATAATAAGGAGGCTAAAAGTTTAACTTTTAGGAGGGGTTCAGAAGTCAGCCAAGTCTTGCTCCAAAGGCGAGGAACGGTGCACGTTCAAAGCATCTCGAGATACACGCGTGGCATGGGATCTACCTTAAGGACGAAATGAACCTCAAAAGGTTTTAAGGTTCATAGGGATTCATAGTATAAGGGCATAGGGCCACTACTTATGAGGCTCATTTGGTCCCCAAGGTAGGATGTATAAATCTTAGGCTGAGTGGTGCACCATGGTTCCTGCAAGACAAGTTATCTGCGTCTTTATGAAAGGCGCGAGCAGGGAGCAAGCTTCCTGCCGCGTCACAGTGAGGTCACACCCGATGTTGCCATCACCAGAGGGGCCTGCCCCACATTTCGGTGGCGAAGACGGCGGACTTATTCGTAAATGGATGGCAATCGAAATGCTGAATGTAGCGCAGCCAATCTTGGAGCCGTCTTCCTGCAGTGAAATTTATAACTGCAGCAGCACCCCCGCTAGAAGCCAGCATGTGTGCGTTTCTCCGCGTCAGGTTTTGCGGGCCCTGAGCATTTTGCATTGGTCATTATCGTTGAGGTGAGGCAGTCTCCAGTGTCCGGGAGACTCAACACATTTTGCGAAACCTTTTTCATGGAACACTACGTAATCCAGCTGTGTCCAGCACGATGCGGTTCTACAGCGAGGCTGGCTGCAGCGACGAGCGATAAATGTTTCAATCTTGCCTTGCGTTTGTCTTGTGTGGTGCCTAGTGTTGTTTGCCGAGTAGTATGCGAGAAGCTTGTAACCCGTTGCAACTTCTTGAGTGCTGCGTGCTCCACGAGCAAGTGTTGTAGCAAGAATAATAACAGTAAGGGTGATAGTCATAGTAATAGTACTAGCTACTAGCTTCAGCATATAATGCTGATACTAGCCCTGCAGGCCTAAACAAACCCAAGCATCAGCACCAGAGCCCTCAGTTCCCTCCGCTAGAAGTCCCTTAAGCCTTTAGCCAGCGTCCCCACTAGTCAGCTCCTGATTTTTTCAGGGTTTTGGGTCTGCTACGGGCACAATATATACATGGAGTTGGGGGGGGGGGTTGTTGGGACCACCCTGAAGCCTGCACCCTAAACAGGAGAAGAACACGTACAACCGAATCAGCTTCACTGCTCTTCGGCTCGGAACACTGAGGTTCAGCGGTTTAGGTTGGGTACGGCCCCCACTCAGTAAGAGTTGGCAAATATTCATAATACAGATATATTAGGACCTTAATAGTGGCCCTATTATAGACTGTTACTCTATAACCCAAGGTTTAGGATTTAGGGTTTGGTGTAGCACGACTTGGCACGACGCAGGGTCTGAGCGATCTGAGAGGCACAGGGAAGTCATCCCTCAGGCACTTTTAGCTGACACTTGTATGTCAGTGTGTTGGATTGTCTGTCCCTAAATCCTAAACCCTAAACCTTCGTCAAAGGTGATGCTGATGCTGGTGCTTATGATGTTCCTGGAACCCATGCTGCTTTGCGCGAACGAGCCGAACTGGCCGACTGATGACTGCTCGCACGTTACTCCGCTCAGCAGCTTCTCTTCATCGATGTTTAGGTTCTACGGCTTCCAGTGAGAGTTGCGTGAGCCCGAACGGATCACTAGGAGGTTCTGCAGTTTGGCCTCAGTTTGAGGGGCTTGAGGTTGATCAGAGTTTAGCCTTCTGGGTATGTGGGCATAGAGAGTCTAGGTTTCAATCATTTGGCTGTGGGAGTGGGTGCGAGACCCTAACTACTACTACTACTACTACTACTACTACTACTACTACTACTACTACTACTACTACTACTACTATTACTCCTACTACTACTGCTACTACTACTACCACTACTTTTGGGTTGTATACCCTGAAGAGCGAGACCCCTCTACCCCAAGCGACTTTGTCAGCTGGGCGGGAGGGGAAGACCTCATCACTCGTAGACACGGCAGAAAGAGTGCTTACCCGATTCGATGTTGGAGATATCGCGGCAGTGTTTATAAGCTTTTGGGGTTTACGGGAACCGCAAAGGCAAAGCGAAAATGCAAGATAACATCTCGAGATTGCATGACTCTCCAGCAACAGGACAGATGAGCGGAAGGTCTGGCTGGACTTAGAGGTTTAGGGTTTAGGCCTAGGGTTCCGGGATGACCAGTTGATCAGTTTTTCAATGTGGGGTAGCCATCACAGCACAGTCGGCGCGTCGTTTCCTGGCATATGCATTGTCGAGGTGTAAACAGGGTTTTGGGGCCCGTTATGCTATAATCATAATCAGGAATACTTAGAATAATATCAGTAATTATTTAGGTTTCTACAGTAGAGTTTAGGGCTTTAGGGCTAGGTTTCAGGCAACCCATGGGAAAAAGTGAAAATGCAAACTGCGGCTCTCCGAGACCCAGCCATACACGAAGTTGTGGTCTTCCCGATAAGAGCTTGTATTCACAGTAGCTGAGTGGATACACGTGACACATTTATTTGGATAATACTACCCTCTATAAAACTAAGAATGTACACTTTGGGCGGGCTTATGAATTCAGCGCTTTTGACCCATTAGTTGCAATGTCAACCCTTATAAAATAATCTAAAAGGCTAACGTTTCGTTCCCCTGGGATGCTGGACAAGTAAGTACTCCTTCGCACACCCTGAACAGTAAACTCTCATTCTTCCTCGAAGCACGAATCCCAAAAGGCTCCCAACACCACAAAACTCTAGGCCTTCATTCCGCCACAACACCCCTAACTCTAAAAGAACCTCAACTCCTTCACCAAGGTAGATATTGGTATTCTGTCTTTGGGATGATGCCGAGCTGCACAAAGCCCGCGTGCTCTTGCCAACGTTAAATTTTATATGATTTCATTGATATAACATGGCACAGTGCACCATATCGTGCTAGAATCTACTTACAGACGAACAGCCTTCAACAGTAATTTGCAGTTGTGTATGACTCCATTTTTGTGTCCCTTGTGTTCGGTTGCAGCTCGAGGCCTGAGATTCGCAAGAAGCATGCCAACATAATCCCTACCTGAAATCATTAGTAGTGGCGGCTGAGCGCAAGGAAAGCAGACAGTCTTTGGCCTGTAGCAATCTGTAGCTTGAATACTACCCCGACTCTACACTGTAACAGTTGGATACCCCTATAGCATGATGTTTATAGCCCTTAATACGACCTCTGGCATGAGGGATCTCGAGGTATTGAGCCCGCAGCCCACGATCACACATCTTGCCTTTTGATTTTGACAGAGATTGGTCGAAAGCTTAAACACCACACTTCGTTCTACCCTCGCAAACGTCAACACCCCAGCACCTAGTATAAGGGCGCTGAATAGTCGCATTTTGTTTTCCTGATCAAAATCGTACTAGAAAAAGCCGTAACTTAATTATCATTATTGTGGGCCCTTTCGTTTAGTATAGATATGACCATCTTCGGCGCCTACATGGTTCATTGTCAGCGCATTGGGATGTACCGGGTGTAACATTCCTTCTCGAGTACTCTTGCGATTTGTGACTTCATTCTGGTCAGCCTCAAATGGGATCCACGCAACATGGCCATGGTGGCACATTGGCCAGCATTGGCCAGGATTATCACAAAAACATGCGAAAATCAACACCAAACCCTGGGGTGCCAAGTTCAAGAAGCGATGTGACGGTTTAGGTTTAGGGCTTAGGGGTTCGCTGGTCAGCAGGAAAGTACAGTAGCACGCCATTCAACTGATGCAGTCTTCGGCCCAACAGATTCGTGATATACTATACATGGTTCACGAATGCAACAACATTCTTAATACCTCGCCACGAAGGGGGCCGATTTGCGCTTGGTGCCACCAAGGATCGCCATGATCGTTCACTGGCTTCTGCTGAATCTTGCAAACAAAGCCCTCGATCCCCACTACCCAAACTTGATTGTTTTTGGAGGGGGTTCTTGTAGTTGTGTAGGAAACGGAAAGTTTACTCTTTCTTTTTTTGTGTCTTATTGGGGAAGTAAGACAAGCATTGAGTTGTGGTTTCGAGTTTTGGATAAACCCGCTGAGACACAGATCTGGGCCCCAGAGCCCCCAACCCCTGAAGCTTAAGCAACCCTAAGAGCCCGGTTTGGAGTTCAGGGTCTCAGGTCCTAAGCCGTTTAAGGCTTTGGGCTTTAGGCGTCTATTCTGACACCAACATCCCAGCTGCAAACACAAGGCGTCTATCTCATGACATAGGACACGAGGAGCCCTCTAGACTTCCTAAAGAACCTAAAGTACCTATAAAGGTGCCAGATGTCCAGCTCAGTGCTTAAAGGAGCCGACCCGGAAGGAAGCTTACACCCCGAGAAACCTTCAACCCTGTCATGCCCAGGATTGACATGACGATCTTTTCCACGCAGCTTTCGGCCTTCTTGCTGGTTGTGGGCCACGTGCTGGGCGAGGTGAAGCAGTGACTTCGCTTGAGAGTTTAGAGTTTAGGGTTTAGAGATGTCTAGAGACCGCTAATACCATAGGACCCCTAGTTAGTAAGAGGGATGGGTTCCTTCATTGAGAGAAAGAAGCTTGAACTTTAAGGGCCAAGAGGCTCGTGGTTGAGGTTGATGTCAGCTTTGTCGACGGGCAGAAGTGGGCTTGAAGCGCTTTGCCCTAGGCCACCTTAACCGGCCGCAATGATCATTTGGCAGGACCCCGGACACCATGCATTCCTCATAGGAGGCCAAAGGGGGTTTAGCCTATGGGGGTTTAGTAGGGACTAGGCTTCGCATACAAGGGTTCATATTAAGGAATCCCTACCCCAGGAATCTTAAACCCCCCTGTTGGCCTCCCATCAACTGCGAACCTCGAGCTCTGAATGAGGGAAGAGCGTTGCATGCCTTCGTCGCCCTAGGTTCTTGATCGCCCTGACGTTCTTGCTGCTTCTCTTCGGGAGTAGCATCAGCATCCTCTGTGATCGGCAGCCTGGAGAAATAGTCGAAGCTTCCTATTAATATTGAAAGTGCCCACTTAACCTTGCCACGAACCTAACGCTACAACAAGCATTGGAAATAGCCAAAACACGGTTCACGGTAGAGTAGGAGCAGCAGTGGTAAGAACAAAGGGCACCACGTGCCGTGGGAACTCCAAGGCGATGTGGTGACGATGGGGGAGACTTCAACGACATGTGGAATGCGATCATCTCGCTGTTCTCCATCACTGTGAGTCTCTACCAGGGGGACTTCCGCGAAATCCAGCCTGACCCCATGCTCCTGATGATGTGACTTGGTCCTGTATACGATCTATCTGGTGCTTGTTGGCTCAAGTTCAAGGGTGTCAGATTCGAGATTAGCGGTCCAACCAGTTCCAACATGCAGGGCAACATCCACATCTGCTGACTTTATCAGCCGACATGTTTTTTCAAATTCCGCCCCTGGCTGTTTCTGCAAGCTCAGGGTTTTGGTTTCCAGAATTTACGGATTTGCAGGTTTACATGTCTGCTTGCTTTGACTTACTTCTGACCTCTTCCCTGGCAAGGATCTACCTCTTTCTTCTAGTCTCCGTGGTGCTCTTGCTGAACCTGCTGATTGCGCAGTTGAACCAGACGTACGAGTACATCAACAAGGATCACGGTAATCTTGGGCCATAGGTTGGTAGTGGTGGGGGGAGGTGCGGCCTTCACTCCACCCCTAATGGAGGATTTAGGGGTTGGCCGGGGCTGGGCAAAAGGTTGATCACAAGCGCTCTAAACGTACCACCACCAAACACTACTCCCGAATCATCCTAATCCCAAAGGGTCCGAGGTACTGTTATCGGGAATACTTCCCCAAATCATAATAGTAATTCCTATAATATAGAATAGAAACCCTACATTGTACTATATGGGTCCTTTGGACCCTTTGGGAATCCCTAATCAACCCCAAGCCCTAAGACGGAGAGGATGTTCTCGGCTTCGCCAGACTCAATCGGGCATCGCTGGTCGTCGATGCTATGGCCTCCTGCCCCAAATCCAAGTGGAAGAAGTTCGTTGCCGACTCCTGGCCGCACAAGCTCGCGTTGAGGGTTTAGGATTCAGAGTAAGGGTAGTAGAACGGTGGTCGCAGCAGCAGCAGGAGCAGGAGCAGCAGGAGCAGGAGCAGCAGGAGCAGCAGTAGCAGCAGTAGCAGCAGTAGCAGCAGTAGCAGCAGTAGCAGCAGTAGCAGCAGTAGCAGCAGTAGCAGCAGTAGCAGCAGTAGCAGCAGTAGCAGCAGTAGCAGTAGCAGTAGCAGTAGCAGTAGCAGTAGTAGTAGTAGGTAGTAGTAGTAGTAGTAGTAGTTGTAGCAGTAGTAGTAGTAGTAGTAGTAGTAGTAGTAGTAGTAGTAGTAGTAGTAGTAGTAGTAGTAGTAGTAGTAGTAGTAGTAATAGTTGTAGCAGTAGCAGCAGCAGTAGCAGTAGCAGTAGCAGTAGCAGTAGCAGTAGCAGTAGCAGCAGCAGCAGCAGCAGCAGCAGCAGCAGCAGCAGCAGCAGCAGCAGCAGTAGTAGTAGTAGTAGTAGTAGTAGTACTAGTAGTACTAGTAGTACTAGTAGTACTAGTAGTACTAGTAGTACTAGTAGTAGTAGAAGAAGAAGAAGAAGGAGATATAGTAGAACAAGTAGTAGTTACTAGTTGTTGTTGTAGCATGGCATAGAACCCGAACCGCGGAACATCACAGCACCGTATACGAACTCCAGACTCTGGACCCTGCCCGGCTGCGGGTTTTTGAAATGGTGCTTGAGTAATATATTACGACTGGCTCTTGTAACATACTGTGCTACAACGTATTTCGTTTGCAGTGAAATCAGCCGTGCTTGCTGTCGCAGGCAGGCATTCCCAAAGTGGCGGTGCTTTCTGCTGATAGGTATAGTGTCGGGGTTTAGCAGGTGAGAAGTTCCTCGCCGCACTTGTAGGCTTTAGGGTTTCAGACTTTACCGTTAGAGTTCAGGGATGAAGACTTAGGGGGTGTAGGGCCACCGTAAACCATAGACCTTAAACCCGTAGCGCACATAACAGAGGATCTCAAGCTCGACGAGAAGAGGGAGTTTGATGAAGGCGATTTGGGCCTGCCAGGTGCCAGGGCAGGGGGTGTAGGTTTTCAGTGGTATCGGGGTTTTAGAGTGTGCTTGTTTTTTGGTTTCAGGGTTTTGTGGTTGTATGCATTAGAATGGATTAATATTGACAACCACCCATTTAGGTTTGAGGTTGGGTTCCCTTCACGAGTGGGGCCAGAAAAGTAGAAAGCAGTGCTTTTCGGAGCCCTCCTTGATATTCCAAGGGTAAAAGGAGGGACCCTTAATGGGGACCCCTACGTGATAATGGGCTATATAGTGGGTATATGATAGCTATATTAAGGGTATATACCTAGGGGTCCTTGTTAGGGGTCCCTCCTTTTCCCCTTGGAGATATGCTTTACGGTAACATCCGGAATTAGACTGGTAACGGAGTTCCCTTGCTAGCAGTCTTGCAGGTAACCTTCTGTTGTTTGGTGAGAAACGAATCCCACCTCGATGGCAGAATTTAGGTTTTCCAGGGCGCTATTTAGCAACTACCTAATTCTGCACGTCGTCTCCATTGTAGTTCCAGCTTAGGGGTTCACTCATGGGTCCTAAACATGTATCTGGTTAAACCGAAACAGGAACTGCAATGGAGACTCGAGGTTGGCTTGGGCTTTGAGCTTAAGCTGGCTCTGCTTGTACAGCCTTCTTGGAGGGTCGGGGGACTTAGTAACTGGTTATTTTTTGGGGGACTTATAAGTACCATAACCCCAATTAGGGTCCCTTTTAGGGTACTTATAAGTCTACTTACTACCTACTTACTAAGTCCCCCGACCCTCCAAGTTGGGTCGATGGGTTCGTCGAGGTTGTTTTACACTGTCGGGCGCTTTTCCCTGCCGGTCTTATCCGTTAGGTACCAGCTACCCCGTGTGTATACCCTAAACCGTGCTGCGCATTCTCTACGGGGTCTGATAGAACCCAGTTGTGCGGATCGTAAGTTGCTGTCTCTGGTTTGTTAACTCGCTGACCCACGCGTCGCATGGGTCTCCTAGAAAGCCCTCCCACCTAGAGCCTCAATAGACTTGCGGGGTGAATCAGGGTTGAAAGTGGTTTCGAAAACCGAAGTCAAAGCCCGTATTCAAAACGCCCGAAATGGCCTGAACCGAAAGCTCACACCAATCCCTAGTACCCTTTGAGCCTATAATTCTTTCAAAAGTCCAATGTACCTTAACCTAACAAGACCGACTTTTTTGCAGGGTCCCTTTAAATTTCATATCAGGGTTCATTGTAAGAACCTACAAACAAGTAGGGTTTAGTAGTTTAAGGTACCCTTCAAACCCGCATGCAACGCACAAGGCTGCATCCAGAGCCACGAGGCCGCGGGACTCCACCGGCAGAGCGAGGAGAGCGCTTCTGTTGGCGCGTAAGCCTCGTGGCTCAGGGCTTCCGGTTCTGCGGTTGAGGTTTTCGGGTTCTGTGGCCTTAACGAAGTCATAAACAATCCAACCGGTTTGGATGATTTCAAAGGCACAGCCTCGAGGCCAAAACGTTTCTGAAGGTCGTGAACCCTGAACCATCCTGAACCCAAACCGTTCCCTCAACCTTTCAACAGGAGCAGATCCGTCGCTATGGAGGTTCGACGCTGCCATCTTTGCCCTGGCCAGAGGAGAGATTTCGACCGTTATCTTCCGAGCTTCGGTGTTTGTAGTTTTTTGGGATGTGGGGTGTGGGGCCAGAGCTTCAGCGCTCACTGCACATCAGGGTCTATGCTTCAGACTCCTGGGGCTAAACCCTTCGCTTCGGGCTTTGGATCTCGCCGTTCTCGGGTCATCTTGCATCCACTAACCTCTCCATGCTTCCACCTCACTAACCGACATTGCTACGGGCCATGGCCATCGAAGCAGTGAGCATAGGCAACACGGGTCTGAATTCGTCTATTGCGTACGGCCAACATGGTCGTAACGAGGATGGGGTTGGTAAGGCTGTTGAGGATGACAACTTCGTGCTAGATTTGCTGCTGCTGCTGCTGCTGCTGCGGCGGCTGGCGATGGCGATGGTGATCGTGGGCATGTCGACAATGATGGCGATCACGACGATGTTGGTGCTGATGCTCAAGATGAAGATGCTTTTGCTGTTGATGGTGATCTTGCGGAAGCTGCTACTGCTGCTGGTGCTGGTACCGGTGCTGGTGCTGGCAGTGTTGATCGTCTTCATCGTTGTCGTCATCATCATCAGCAGCAACGTGATGATGATGATGATGATGATGCAATGATAATCGTGTGACGATGATGCTCAGGGCGACGATGGCGATAGTTCTTTGGACGATGATAACGACTGTATTGATGGCGGTGGTGGTGACGATGATGATGATGATGATGCTGGCGTCTTTCTGTCTTTTATCATGTTGGAAAGTTGCTACGTAGGTCCCAGGTAAGCATTGTATGGTCAGAAGAACAAGGCAGGCCACACAGCACCGTCCACGTTTTTTCAGATAGGCACCCAGTCAACGACAAGTAGCCATAAAGTTGGAACATAATAATCCTCGTGCCCCTAAGAGAAAGTAACAAATCATCCCAAACCCATGTTTCAACTTTCTGGCGTTCGCTGTAATTTTTAAGCCCAACCCAAACCACTAAAGCTGAGAGGACAAGGCCAAGAAAAGTGGGCCCGCAGAGGCCACGGCGTTTCTCTTGCAGGGGGGGCGGGTGAACATCAGCAAGGAATGAATTACAATGAGGGCACTGCGAGGGTTGTTTTTGAGCTTTGGCTGGCAGTTCCTTCTGGGATTCTGTAAAGTTGCGAAGGCAGATGTCGAACCTGCCATCAGGATATTCAGGCCTTTGTATGTTCGCCAAGTGGGATCAAATTTAGGGTTCGGTTTAGGGTTTTCGAAAGGCACTTCCATGATGGAAGTAGATCCCACAAGGTCCAAGTACCTAATAGTTATATACTCTCCTAAACCTTAAGCTGCATAACTACTATCCTAAAACCGAGTACCTATTGTTGGGCCCTTTGGACATCGGGGATGGCCTTTCGGAGTCTAGCTCCATTGTTCATTCTGGCAGCTGATCTGGATCCACAGAGTTGGGAGTTTCCGAGAATTAGGGGTACCTTCTCCTGGGGTCTTTATAATAAGGATCCTACTATTTAGGGTACCATATTAGGGTGCCCTATCGTCAGAAACCCACAGAGTTCAGGAAGGTACGGTTGATGATATAAACCCTGCATGACCCACAATAAGGGATATACCATAATTCCCATAGTTTATAAGGGTCCTTACGGTAATGCAGGGTTTACATCATCAGCAGTAGGTTTGGGATGCCTGGTCTTCGGTTTCAGGCTTCAGAGTCTCGGGATTTTGGTGGGTTCAGGGTTTTGGGTGCACAGCCGTTTGGAAAAAGGGTGTTTTGCGAGGTCACTTCCAGGCATCTACCAAGCTCCTGGCTCTGAAAACAGTTTCGTTTGTTCTTTCTATTTTTTGTTGTTAGCTTTTTTTGTTTTTTTTCTAGGGGGGGCGTAAGCGTTTTGGACTTCGAGCTTGGGGCTCCGATTTTGTTCGTATTCTTGGCTTCCGTAGCTCCCTCAACCATACACCCTGATCTCCAAAACCTCACACCGTCATCCAGCATCCCCACGGCCCCCTGAAGGACACTCCGGAAGCGCGTCTTGCCCACATCGAGTACCTGCTGGAGAAGGCGTCGGTCGGTTTCAGGATTAAGGGTTTGAGGTTTACTGTTTAGGGTTTAGGGTGCTCTAGTGGTCTGATGTGGTCTGCCTTTCTTCGGTTCACGGGCTGTGGCTGTAAGGGACCTACGGTCTGATCCGGGTGGGCTGAATATGCTTCAGTACAACATAAAAACTCACGGGTCCAAGTGCCTAATAATCATATGCCCTGCAAAGACTAACCTGCATAACTACTATCCTAAAACCGACCGAGTGAGTACTTAACTATTAGGTCTTCTGGACCCTTAGGCAGAAGAGCCCAAGGCCCAAGGCCATTCTGTTGAGACCCAAAGTGTTTTCGGAACAGACTCTTTTTAGGAGAAGAACAAGCTTATTGTGGCGCCATGTCGCTCCCTGCATGGTTGGCTTTCGTCCTGAAATTCAGTGTACCGTGCAACAGACGAACGGCCGGATGTTAAGACCTGGAAGTGTCGAGTACGCGTGCTTGTGTTTTGCGGTATGGTTGAGGCTCTTCCGTTTTGTGCTGTCACGCTGTAGTGCAGTATAGGCCAGTAAAGGGTTGTAGGGGGTTGGGTTCAGTGCAAACCCGACGCCCGACACTCCAGAAAGATTCCCTGAACCCTGAACCTTGTGTACAGTGGATCGGACCGTTGATAACTTGGACGGCTTGGTTGTTCAGGAAGAACCCTAAACCCTAAACCCTTTACCGTATGGTGATGCAGGGACGTACTGTGTTTGCCTTGTGGTGCTCACGGTTGGAGAGCCAGTTTCACTTGCTCTTTAGCTACTGTGCTTTGGAGTTTGGCTAATGCGCCTCTTGTCGTTGTACCCGTATCCTCGCCTCTTCTGTGTCGAGCTGTGAGTTCTGAAGCCTTACGCTATGGCAATTTAGTCTTTGAACCTCAGACCCTAAGCCACAACACCCAACCCCCTGAGCTCTGAAACCTAGTCGACGTCCGAATCCTTGTAGACCCCTCCATAAATGAAGTTTCTGTGAGGCATGATCAATTTCAAACATCATTCCTGGGTACCTTAAATAGAAGTATAGGACTATAACAGTATATGAATAATGTGTTAGCTCGGGGCTCGGAGCCCTTCAGGGGCTATACTTTAAAGCACGGCACCATGCAGCTACCGGGACGGGGCGGAGTTGGGCTGCGCGTAGTATCGGTGTATATGCAGGACGAGATTGATTTATTGCTATAGAAGCCGATTATGTTGCGGTGTAGGTGTTTTGGTGTTCTATTCCTTTGGGATCCTGAGAATTATGAACTTTACATTATACTATGAAGAAGCCCAAAACCCTATATACTCTAACTGCTAAGGCCCCTGCAGTACTGGCAAAAGACCGGCTGAGGCCCCCTACTGGATCCTTGAAAGGACCCCTTCGAGGCCCAAAGCACACCCTCTAAGTTGACTCCAACCTGAAAGCCCAACAACAGTATCCCAAAAAGAGGCAGTGCGCCGCAAGCACCATCGTGAGGGCAGCCGGGAGCCCAAATGTTTCAATTGTAGTCTCAGTCTAAGTCTAAGGTTTGGAGTTTAAGGTCATGCCTAGGGTGTCGAACCAAGCTTCTCCATTCTCCAACTCCCACAATCGATGCATTTTGTCACGTTTGTCAGCAGTTCAATAGGTTCTGTGTCACCCCTCCGCCTTCGATCTAGAATTCAGCTTGTCTGGCATGGCTGTCCTTCGTACTTGAAATCGACGACCCTCTAGGCTGTTTATGCCGAGACTTCGCCCCCTGCCGAGCTTCCCCCCAAAGACCAGATGCCCCTCAGGCTTCGAGGTTCAGGGCTCATACCTGGACGTCATGCAGCCTACATTTTTCAGGGCTTACATAAAGAAACCACAACAGGGAACCCCAAAAGGGTAGGTTCTTTAGGGCTCAGGTAGGGGCTGAAGCCAGCAACAGTGTAAGCATCCAGCCGAGCTCGTCTCCGCACCCTTTGAGACCCGAAGGTTTGCTCTTATAAGCCTGATCTGCCTCTCAATGCACTCAACTCGAAACCCGAAAATTTGACCCAAACCAGGAACCCTTTCAACAGCAACTGAATCACAACTTGCCGACCCCTTCAACTCCTTCACACCGGTAGAACATCTGAGCAGAAAGCCTAGAAAGGAACCCAGTGTTTCACACACGCCTCGCTTGACATTCCTCAAGCTTGCCCTAAACCCTCCAGCCTAATACAGGAGCTTTAATGGCTGGAAATGGGCTGTGCGTGTGTATGTATAGGTATAGGTATATATATATATATACACACATACATAACTGTCATCGTATAGCTAGACCTCTCTCTCTCTCTCTTCGTATACATCTGCGACGGAAGCTTAAGGAAGAAACCCCAAAACGCCTAACCCAGCTTCCGACTCTCACTCGTAAACCCTCAACCCTAAACCCTACACCTCTTAAACCCTAAACCCCAAACCCTAAACCTCCAAATGCGGGCTTCGTCCTTGCTAGGTAGGAGGGAAAAAAAACCTCCAAACCCTAAACCTCTAAACCCTAAACCCTACAAACCCCATAAGCCCTATACCTAAATCCTGAGCCTCTGAACCTAGGTTCCGACTCCCACTCTCATGATGCATCCGGGAGCTCCATGGGCAGCTCTGGCGGCAGCCCCTTGTCTTGGCATTTCTACATTAACTATAAGAAGGAGGCTAAAAGTTTTACTTTTAGGAGGGGTTCAGAAGTCAGCCAAGTTGTCGAAGCAAATGGGTGGGATGCGTCGAGAGTTTGATTCAGGGGTTAGGGTTCAGGGTTTTGGGTTTAGACTGAGGGTTTATATAGGAGTCTAGGGTTTAGTAGTTTAGGGTTTAGGGTTTAGATTGAATTGAGGGTTCAGGAGTTTAGAGTTTAGGGTTTAGGGTTTGGTAAGGGCTTGAGGCTGTAGGTGCAGGGTTAAAGCTGAGACGTTTGTAACGAGGGTGGCTACCCAAGCAGCCCGCCCTTGTTTTGTGCAGACTTCCGACGCCTCTCAGCCTCAGCGGGCAGGATTGCTGGGCAAATACCTGGATCCCTTACCTGGACCCTATTAAACCTTCCTTTTGAGGGTTCCCCATGCTGATTTCTTTATACAAAAACCTCAAGAAGGAAGTTTGTTTGGGGTGATAAGCCAGGTAACCCTAAACAACTTAGACCTTAAAATGGTAGGTTGCCAGGGGTTATACGTACGGTGACCCTAAATAACTTGAAACGTCGCTGGCCACTAACGATTCAAGGAGCCCTCTGAGGCGAAGTCCACGCCCCCGAGACTTCGTAGCCCCCTAGGATGCCCAGTAGTACCCTTAGTCCCTTTTTGTAGTCCTAGGTTCCTTATAAAGTTACCCAATACCAAAAAGAGAGGCCTTTTTATTCTTAGGTTACTGGGTATCCTAGCCCCTAAACCCCTGACATCTCACCTTCAAGCTCGAAACATGTCCCTACATGCGAACGGCAAGGGAATTCCGAACCCTGAAAGCCGACACCCTTTAAGGCCCAAGCCATCAAGCAACAATTACTGTGAACTTGCTGTACAGCGATAAGACACTCAAGGGCTTCTCTTGTGAACCATGCACAGCTTGCAAGACTCAGATACATGTGGGTGGTTGTCAAGATTAGGGTCCCTTTTTGGGTCCCTATTATAATACGGCACCTAATATTTAGGGTACCCAAAAAGGACCATAATTTTGACAACTACCTACATGTCTGTGCGCACGCGTGCTGCGCCACTCTACACGTCCGCGTGGATCGCGGCGAGTTGGCACTTGGGCTCGGGCGCTCCCAGGATCCGAGCTCTGGGGTCAGATGAATGTGGGAGTTTCCTAAAATTAAGGGTACTTTTTTGGGGGGTCCTTATAATAAGGATCCTACTATGTTGGGTACTATATTAGGGTCCCCTATTGATGGAAACTCCCATGTAGGGTAGTTAGTCTCTTCTTAGAGGAACAACGCAATATGACGAGATATCCACAGCTTTGAAGCAAAAACCGTAGAAGTATATTACAGGCATAACAGAGCCGCACAGCGCTGTTTAAAGGCCTAAACCCTAAGCCCTAGAAACCCTAAACCCCTAGACCCCTTAAAAACTACTATTTGCTTAAGAACCCCACAAAAAATGAAAACAAAAATAATCCCTATATTACCCCCCATAAGGAATATGTTTTTTATTTTTGGGGGGGTTCTTAAGCAAATAGTAGAAAACCCTAAACCCCTAAACCCTATAAAACCCTAAACCGCGAAAACCCCATAAACCCGCTGAAGATGAACCGCCACAGCCTCGAGCCACGGCTGAGGTTCCCTCAGCGGAAGCAGCATCAACGACTCGGAAGACTCGGAGGGTTAGGAGACTAGGATGCCCAGTAGTACCCTTAGTCCCTTTTTGTAGTCCTAGGTTCCTTATAAAGTTACCCAATACCAAAAAGAGAGGCCTTTTTATTCTTAGGTTACTGGGTATCCTAGGAGAGTTCAATCGAGACAAGATCGCCGGACACAGCTGACTGCTCTTTTTTGTAGGCTTCTTATAGCTTTTTAATTTTTACAACGTTTGGGTAGGATTGCGACGAGTTTGGGTGTGTTTTAATGTCCTTGTTCTCGCTCAGACAGGAAAGATGAGGCCAACCACATGACCTCATTACGGAATATGCCGATTTTATGTCAGGGTCAGGGTTGAGCTCAGCGCTTGTTTTTTGGGGTCTAGGTTTTTGGTTGGGGTTTGTAGGTTAATCAGTTTACACTAAAGTCGACTGCGAAGGTCGAGCGTGCAGGATCCCCATTAAAGCATAGCATCCCTGAGGGTCCATATATACTACCATTCTGGAATTAGGTCCTCAAAACCATTACAGGGATGGTGTATATGCTTTGGCCCCAATGTATAATATAGGGACTACCTTAAGGCCAAGGTATATACTATTTGGTAAATAGATGCGGTACCGCTGTACGTACCCGGTATGGGTTAGCCAGTTGCAGGGCGTGGGTGATTGAGCATGCAGAAGAATTAGGACGGCTTCGTTTGTTGAGGACAAGCACACCCATGGCAGAAGGCACCGCAATTTCAATCTGAATTCCAGGCATCAGCATGGATAAGAAGACCGCAAGACCCTAAACCCCTAAACCCTGAAACCTAAGCCCGAAACCCCAAAACTTAAACCTCTATCAATTTCAACCGTGCTCCCATCCAGCGATCTTGCGCGTGTAGTCAGACCTTGGGGGGCTTCTCAGAGAACGATTCTTCTTTCCTTCTCCCAAACGGCCCCAAGGCCGGGACATCATGCCTCTTCACCCTCAGGACTATGTAAAAGAGCCGCATAGGGGAGACCCTCGTAAGCTTGAGAAGCTCCCTAAACTTGCACAGCTGGATGCAGATCTGGCCGAAAGGCCCGACGAGGTGCTGAGAGCCTTTCACCACCCTCCAGCCTCGCTTCTAAACTCCGAAGCCCTCACCGCAAGAGCCCCTCCTACAGCAGAAGCCAGAAAGTTGGAACATCATTACCCTCATGCTCTTAAGGTACAGTATAAGGGATCCTAGCACTAATCCTCCTAAAGTCATGTTCCAACTTTCTGGCTTCTACTAACTATAAACCCTGAATTTCCTTGGAAGTGTCGGTCCTCCCCTCTAATCCCAAAAGGGTCCAAATACTTTCATAGTATACAGGTACTTAGTATGTATTTGGGCCCCCAAAGTATGTACTATACTATTACTTGGACCCTTTGGGAATACTCGGGATTTGCTTGAGTTGTCTGTCATTAAACCCTAATTAAACCCTAAACCCCTAATAAAACAGCCTCTAAACCCTGAAACCCCTAAAGACGAAAACGTCCGGGGCATCTCGGCACACTTCCCTTTGCACAGGCAGGATGTTTCACTCAGCGTGTGATTGAGCCGAAAGTCTTCATGCTTGGAGACACATACATGTATACATACATATATATATACAAACACCTTAGATCCCCAATAACCAACCTTTAAACTTTTTGGCTTCATGTAGTTTAGTAGGCATCGGGAAGTTTAACCTTTCATTTTGTGTCTTGTTGGGGAAGTAAGATGCGAATACACACATACGGGTTTAGTTCGGCAAGAGCTTGCCGTGTTTGCTCTGAGCCCTAGCCTGATTGCTCAGCTCGACCACACAAGCGCCCTCGCTCACAATGACTCCATCAAGTGAAGAGAGACGGATACCCTGGTTGTTCTGAGAGTCGTGAGAAGTGCAAAATGGTGACTTCGTGAAGCCGGATTGTAGGTTCTTTGGCAATGTATCTTGGCCCTTTGGGTTAATGGCCACGCATGATCACCAGCAGTGATGATGCAGCGTCCCCTTAGAAGGCCTGAGTGGAAATGCATGCAAGTTTGCCCACAAGTTCAATATTAGCACGATAGTTTGGGATGTCACTAGCTGCTAGCGAGCACCAATTCTGCGTTGCAGCAAGCAGTGGCGACGGTGCTGCTATACGAGCTACTCAGTGGCTGAGTGGATGCACTCTACACTCTTTTTGGATACTACTACCCACTATAACACTAAAAGTGTGCATTTTTTGGGGCTCATGAACTCAGCAGCTAGGGCTACTGGTTCTTTGAGTGTTTCTAAACTTTAAACCCCGCCGCCCTTGACCCGCAACTCCTAAAGCCCCCAGAGACTGGTCAAAGACAAAGCCAGCGTTAATATACTTAGATCCCCAATTCCCAACCTTCAAGCTTTTTGGCTTCTTGTAGTTTACTAGGAATCGGAAAGTTTTACCTTTCATCTTTGTGTCTTACTGGGGAAATATTTTTACGAAATCTTCAAGCCCCTAAGCTCTGAGAGGTGACTTGGAGGTTCATGGGTATTTGTAAGTAGGGTTATAAGTAGGGTTCCTTTAAAAGGATCTCTAGGGTTATAGGGTTTAGGGATTAGGGTTAGGGTAGTTTTCAGTAGGATTATAAGTAGGGTAGCCATACTTATAGCTGATAACCCATGTTTGCGGAACATATAACCCCACTTGTAACGACCCATGAACCTTCAAGTAGCTTCGCTTGGTCGCGGTAGTTTGACTACAAGACTTGTTGTGGTGTATTCAGGACGTAAAGCTCGATGTTTCGGGGATTTACAAGTCGCAAGAAGATGGCTGAACAGCAGAAATCACTGAAAGCTCGTCACTCTGTAGTGTGTTTCTCAAAACGAGGGTTCTTGCTAGTGTGTGCCTTATAGATCCAAACTATGCATGTACGCCAACAGCGGGCCAACCACTTGCACACAGACCCTAAGCCCCAAACCCTTGACCCCTAAACCCCTTAACCCTAAGCCGCTCCGAGGCAACAGCCCCAACCAGGCAGCCACTGCTTCTTGCCTGCAGCAAAGTAGCTGGCTTCCCCCCGAACCGCCCTTATTATAGGAACCTGATTAAGAAACCTTGGGTCTTTCTTAGGGCTCGTAGGTTTCCAACTGTTTCTTGGTGTTCTTCTGGTTGGCGTTTAAGAGTTTCACCTTTTTGGGTTTCTATATGAACTACAAAAATTAGGCCCGTAAGCTAAAAGTTTAACTTTTAGGAGGGGGTCAGAGGTCAGCCAAAGTTATTGGTTACAGGACCTGGTTTTCTTAATCAGGCTCCTCCATTAAGCTCAACGGCCCTGTTTCACCCTGCCCCTAAGGCGCCGATCTCTCGTGAAGTCCTATTAAGAACTATCCGGGTTTAGGCTTTAGGGTGTCAGGGTTATCCGACCAACGATCCCTGCTTCACATCCGCAACATTTCAGAGGTTGAATCTATCTCAACACCACCCCAGGTAGAGAGTTTTCCTGTGTCTTTCAGTCAGAAAAGGACCCATGTGCCTATCAGCAGTGTAATTCTGCAGAGGGCTTCTTGTCTGAAGACGAAGACCAAGCATGCACGTGGAATTAAAAAGGGGTATTATTGGACCATTGGATTCCCTGAGAAGATAAGCGTGTTACCATCGAAGGTGAAGCTGCTGTTGGACGCAAACGGGGATGACCTCGTGGCACCGGCATGGAATTGAAGTCCCGGTTGGCTCGGGGGTGTTATACTTTAAACTGTACCGGCTGTATGTTTTTTGTAGAGCTTATAGCCTATTAAACCGTCTCCCTCTCTACCTGTTCTTTGAGAACTTCTACCTTGCATAAACCCTACAACCTTGGTTTGTGAGGAGTTCTGGGTTTCACTAGACTCTGCAATGTCTGAATTGTTCTGGTTAACCCAGCAAGACGGAACCACGTTGACCGACAAAAGGCATCAAAGCAGTACGATGCGATGACTCGGTCCAATGTCAAGGGCATGGCGATTACCAAAGGCTGCGGTATCTTGCAAGTCGAGGGCAGGATTTTGTATGACCCAGTGGCAACGTACGGCCTCTTGCTTCTTGACGAACAAGTTGGAGTACCGATTGATCCCAATGACCTTACGAGAGCCGACAGCCGCTGTTTGTTGCCGGCTTCGGTTCTGGGTTTAACGGAGAATACCCTGACTCCACTAGAGGAATTGGTAGTATGTTGGGGAAAGCTGCCATGGGCTACCTGTCGGCGGATTCGGCAAAGGCACTTGACTTCTTTCGCAGGACGTCAAACCACAGCCTGGCTACTCCGCAGTCGTAAACATGCCTTGCAAAAGCCGAACCCTAAACCCTGCACCCTAAAAGCTGAGCCAGCAGAAGTCTATATCCTGAACTCTCGTCTGAGTAGTTTTCTGTTCAGGGATTCCGTGAACTTGCCTACTGGTTTTGAAAGTCCAGTTTAAGGCTTTGGGTTTAGCATCCACGATAAGAGGCTTGACACTTAGAGTAGTGGTTTCCCAATGTCTTATATGCATCGCAGGTTTTATAAATATCGCCCTTAACACAACTGGAAGAGGGCTTTGGAAGCAAGCACAGAAACAAACAAACCCACGCATAACGTCTTTTGTAAGTTCCATGCATACACACCTATACATATGCTCAAATACTTACATATACATACATATGTGTATATATATATATATATATGTATATACACACGTGTGTGTATATGCATGCCCACGTGTACATACATACACACATAACATATGTGTGTATGTATATGTATATGGTACGATGTGGTATGATACGGTTTGGTAAGACATGATGTGATGTGATGTGACGTGATGTGATATGACATGTGCGTGCTACAAAGGTTTACTGGTTTACTGATCTCTTGTCCTGAGATCCCCAATGCCCAACCTTTAAACCTGTTGGCTTCTTGTAGTTTAGTAGGAATCGGAAAACTTTAACCTTTCATTTTTGTGCCTCATTGGGGAAACACAAATTCGGAGGGGAGCTCCTCGCAGACCGCAGCCTTGCCCCTGGGGCCCCCAAGCAGCGAGACGGTCGAAACTCCCCAGACCT